ACATTAATCCATTTGTATGGTAGTAGTAGAAGTAGTAACGGAGAATGCGGGCACCATTTTTCCCTTTAACATTACGGTTAATCGGTTCTGCTCACGTCTACCCTTATCTAGTATTTATTAATAAATCAAAGGTTTTTACATTGCCATATAGTGCCATATAAAAAATAAATAAAAATAAAAATCTTATAAGTACTATTTTATAGTCTTATATATTTTATGAAGTGTATCTTTGTAAGTAATTCTTTATAAAATGTCGAAATTTGTCCTTAGTAAAATACATTTGAAACGTATTCCCTTGTTCTTCTTCAAGAAGTTCTTCTCTTTCATTCTTCTTCTTTTCTTCGTTCTTCTCTTTCCTTTAATCTTCGTTAAATCTTCCTGCCTGCTATCTTAATTTCTTTCGTCCATTTTACATGTATTTTCTTCCTATATATCCTTCATCTTTTTACTTAATATAGCGAATAAGAAATCCATCTTTATGAATTACTTGTTAACATATTCTTTCCATCTTCTACAGAAAAATTTCCTTTTTCTTTTTAAAACCTTTATTTGTAATTTTATACCTTTTCCCTTTAAATCTTTTTCCTTTGAAGCCTCCTTCTTCTGCCTTTCCATTAAACGATTAAGTAGTCCTTTATTAGCTATATCCTCTTGAATACTACTCCTTATTTCCTAAATCTTTAGTTATCCTTATACTATGGAGTATCTTCATCTATATCTCAATTCCTTAAGCTTCTTCTACTCAGCAGTTTCTTCTTAACTTCCTGTTACTTCCGTTACATCCCCTTCATTCTTCATATATATGACAAATATGAAATCCATCATTATGAATTATTTCTTCTTAAATTCTCACTTCCTTTTTCATTAATTTCATCTTCTTCTCGTGTTCATGGTTTCTTTATAAATAACATAATATCTTATTCTCTATTTTTTTAATATATAACATCTTCCTGTAAAATTTCCTCCTTCTTCTTTTAATAAAAAATGTCTTAATTAGTAAATAGACAATAGTTTTTACTGGTTAGCAAATACAAAGGTACATTTATTATAATTGTAATGTGACATTAGTTCCTTTTCTTATTCCTTTCTATGGCTGAATCATGTAGCACTTTCCCCTTCTTTCTTTATTGAACAGTTAAGAAAAACATTCTTGTGAGTTACTTTTTCCTTCTTCATAAATTACTTGTCCTTTTACCTTTTAACTTCGTCTTATAAAAGTTAAATACTTTTCTCTTTCATTTGTAGAATCTTCTTGTAAGAATTAAATGCTCCATTTTCATAGGTAGCCTCAATATTCTTATTTTAAGGAACAGTTGAAAGATCTGTGCTTTAGATTTACTTTTACCCTTAAATCGTATTGCTTCTTTATAAATTTCTTCTTCTGCATTGCAAATGCCTATTTTAAAATTCAATTCCATTATGAATGTATGGTATTTCTCTGAATAAATAAATTAATTTATATTATTATTTTTTTATTTGACACATCTTAATATCACGATTTATTACATATGTTCCATATGTATATTTAGAGGTAATTTTGAGAGTAGAATCCTTTAAATGATATTTATTTTTTAGCATTTGAATAAATTATATAACTTGACATAGGTCTGTTCCTAGTTTTCCTAGTGCATTGTTTTCGTGATTTTTTGTACTATATATTTTTTTAACTAAGAATTTTTTAAATGCTTCAATATTTGTAGAAGGCATGTTTATATGAAAATCTTTGGTTAACAGACAGTTCCTGATATAGTGTTCAGGCGTTCCTGGGTCACCGCAAGTGCATTTGTGTATGAAATACCAAATCTTTCGAAATAGATTGGAAATGGTCCGTGATCTGAGACATAATGGACTAATTGAGGTTTGTGATGAGCTGTTGTACATCAAATTTGTAAAATGTAGGAAAGTTCTTCTACCAGTATCACTATTGTTCCACTCATTCTGCCATTTTAAAATTGCTGTTGATTTGAGAATATTTTTCAAGTGTGATATAGGCCATGGAATATCTATAGTAATTGCATTTCGATCTATAGCAGCCTCTTCAGCTAATTGATCTGCAGTTTCGTTTCCATGTATACTAGAATGATCTTTTATCCATGTTAGAGTTGTTTTAAGTGAAACATTATTTTGTATTGCTGCAATAATTGGAGAGGTAGTTTTTGGATCTTTGACTGCATAAGGTGTAGAAAGGCTGTCAGATTTGATAACAGTATTATATATGATATATATATACTGTTATCAAATCTGACAGTATATATATGATACTCCTGAATATAATTAACTGCATATCTTATTGCTGTTGCTTCGGCTTTGAATACACTATTGCTTCTCTAAAGCTGTCCCTTCCATTGGTGAATTAAAGATTCAATGGAAAATATTGTAAAAGCAGAACCAACATTGTCCTCTGTTTTAGATCCGTCTGTATAGATCTGTTTAGATCCTCCTCTGTTTAGATCCGTCTAAAACAGAGTATAGATTTCGAATACTCTGTCTGAGACCTGTATATATTTCGAAATCAGTGTATGAGAGTGCATGTTTCTTATTGATTACAACTTTGATACATTGTCCTTTTTTAGATGTATGAATTTCAAGACAGTTTGGTTTTTCTTCATAAGATAAAGGTCAAAATTGTTATTGATCAAAAATTGCTGGTTTGCGTAGAAGTTTAACTTGCTGCATAGTAGCTTCTAATTCTATGCTAATATGAAGTAGTAATAAGCCTGCCAAGATGTTTATGGCATTTGATGATGTTGTGCGGTAGGTTTTAGTTACGTTCAGTGCAAATGGCTTTAGTATAATTAAAAGATGTTTTACTTTGCGTCCCTGCATAGGATTTGCCCAAATGGCTGCTGTATGTTACAATTTTTTCTATGACAGTAGAGTAGAGAATCGTTTGAATATGGGGATTTAATCCCCACTGATGTCCTTGCATTTGACGTAGCTTTGTTGCTATGATATTGGTGCATTTTTTGAGTTTTATAATATGGGGGATCTAATTCATTTTTTGGTCAAATGTGATCCCTAGATATTTAAGTTGATTTACCATTTTAAGATGATTTACTATTTTAAGTTGATTTACTATTTTAAGTTGTACAATGATGAGAATAGCCTACATGGCTTACCACGAATTTTCGGAATCCAGAGTAATATATTAAAAGTTTAAGAATGCTATTTTTATTTCATATTTTGTAAAACTTACACAAATTTTTTATTAACAAACTTTCTTTCTTTTCGCCATCGACGGAACAGCTGGCCCACTGGCTTAGGTACTTTTCAGTCTGTTGGATTCCGTCGATGGAATTAAAAATAAATGCATAAATAAATACAAATAAAGAGCTTAGTACCGTGTTCTACTGCAACTGACTACGCAAAACGAGGAACATTGAAATAAGGACCAGAACATGGAAAGAAGGTGCATGATGGGGACTGCTTAGAACTAAGGGAAACACTTTGCACTATTATGGTACATGTTAAGCATACAGTTATATTAAAGATATGCGATATAATCAGGTACAGATGTAAAGATGAACAAATACATTACAAATTGTGGGATACATTAAATGAGTTCCGGATTAATCATAATATTAAATATAATTAAAAACAAAACATGGCAAAAAAAAGACATAAAAACAAGACATTAAGTAAATTAATATATATACAGAGCGGGCTGCTGACGGCACGGTGTCCAGGGAAAGAAGTCACTCCAGGCTGTCAGCAATGCTTTTAGCAATGGTAGTGCAGTCTCTAATGGGGCTGAGCGCATATTTATTCTTAATTGCTTTCTGAACCATGCCGGCATATTGATTGCAGCTGGTCTTTTTAAATGTGAATTCGCTGTATGCGGGGAATCAAACAGATAGTGATCTGGGTCATCAGTACTGCCACAAATGCATTGGTCACTGTCTCTTAGGCGAAATCTGTGAAGTTAAGACATATATGGGCCATGCCCTTTCAGATACTGTGTGAAGTGCGAAGAGCTGCTTCTTAGAAACTAGTTAACAAGATGTTTTTGACGCCTTGCTATAGACTAATCTTTCGTATACAAATTATTTTCAAATTTAATTTCATGCTTCATTAAAATTATTAGTAAAAAGAGATAGTTGTTAAATCATGTTAATAATATTTCTAACTGTTGTAAATTATAATACAATGAGTTCATGGATTTGTAATATACTCATTTATAATTTTTAGAAAACTTTTCAGCAGTAATGGAATTCCTAACAGTTGCTCCTAATTCATTAAGATTACATTTGATGGTTGCATTAAGATTACATTTCTTTCTGCACTGGTATTTTAATGTTATAATCATAATATCTCATAATGGCTTACAGATGCAGATTAAATTACAATTAATTAAAAAAACAAATACGGTATCATACAGAACAATACTTAAAAATTAGGAAAAAAGAAAAATATATGAAAACTGAACTAAAAAATCGCGATGCAAATGAACTGTACGTAATATACAAATTAAAGTCGAATGAACAATTTATTTTACATATTAAAAAGCCAAAATAAATTGTAAATTCTACTTAAATTTTACTCTAACCAAAGAGGATTTCAAAATGGCACTATGACTCAATAAGCTTACAGACGCTAAGGGTTGCCATGAGTAAAGTTCAGGTGTTTACTGTTACATTAAAACTTCTTTATTGGCGTGGACATGAGACAAGTTGGGTTGCCATTGGCACGAATTTTCTTACAGTGTTGTAATTCAGCAAAATAAAATGACAGAAAATGATACTAGAAACTGTATATTAAGAACTGTAAAAATTAAGATATTGCTGAGTAAAATGTTATGTATGTTTATTATGGTTGCTTATATCGTTGGGATTGAAGCGAATTTTCCACTACAGATAATATTAAAGCAAACTAACTAATTGCAGGTAAGATATCTAGGATATGTTAAAAATAAAAGCTTGGAAAACAAAGGAAACATTTTCTTCTGATTCTGGTTAGATTTACACTAATTAATGTGAGAGATCATAGAAAACTGTGCTTACATATTTTATTTAAGCAAAACGTGCTGACAGCTGTTCAACAGCAGCTTCACATGTAATAAATACCTGCACAAATAAATATATAACTTTCACCAAATATACAAATATGCTTTGTGAATACATGCAGTTAATCTCCGTATTCCTTATTCCAAATTCGGCATTTATTTTCTCTATTCATTGTTGTATTTGCTGGGCAGTTGAAATCTCTTGCAAACTGTGGTAGGTTGGACATAGATCCTATGACTCTGAAACAGAAAATGTATTTAAATTCTTTTGCATGGAATATATCATCATTTCTGTAATCCAGCTATTACCGAAATTTCTTGTTTTGTTTTCAAAATCATTAACGAATTAATTAAAAAAAAATATTAGACATAATCATGTACACTTTTAATCTGTTCGTATAATTGTTGCGTTTTGCGAATTTCTAAATTTGGAATAACTGATGACAACACTTGATAATGAATCAAAACACAATTTATTTGCCAGTATTACACAGGAAAGTTCAAAGAGACGTTTGCAGTCGCCGGAAAACTACGATGAACACACTGAAACGGTCAGCAGCTACAGCCTTCAGGGTACAACGATGAAGACAGCTTCACGGCAAAGCACTAAACTATAGCTCCCGACTCGGTTCTGTCGCTCTTAAGCTAATCTCTAAACTCAAAACACTACTACTCAACTCAACATACTCTACTGAATTCAAGATACTCCTTTCTCCGCGTATAGACAGGGTATATATAGCTTTTAACCTACCTTCAAGGAAAATTTCGAGGTAAATCGCTAAAAATGTGTGCTAGAATGTTCTCGCTCCATCTCTGGCGTATCGCCTATTTTGTCGTCAAATAGGCTATTTCGCGCCAAATCTGGCGACCCTGTTTTTCTCTGCATTGTCTGGCAACCCTAACCCCGCTTTGCGGAGAAGCTATCTTACCGCAGCTGGATATATCGTAACCCAGCTATATACCGGGTGATGAAAAAGTCAGTATAAATTTGAAAACTTAATAAATCACGGAATAATGTAGATAGAGAGGTAAAAATTGACACACATACTTAGAATGACATGGGATTTTATTAGAACTAAAAAAATACTGTATCGGGCCTTTTTTCTTCGAAAATGCGTGATTCTGGTTTTGTAACTGCTACTGTGACGGCTGAGAGGTACGCCGATATGTTACAGAATCGCATCGTCCCCAGCTTGGTTGATAAACACCTGCTGGAACGTACGATTTTTATGCAGGATGGCGCTCCATCCCATATTGCTAGACGCGTGAAAGATCTCTTGCGCGCGTCGTTTGGTGATGATAGTGTGCTCAGCAGCCACTTTCGTCATGCTTGGCCTCCTAGGTCCCCAGACCTCAGTCCGTGCGATTATTGGCTTTCGGGTTACCTGAAGTCGCAAGTGCATCGTGATCGACCGACATCTCTAGGGATGCTGAAAGCAACATCCGACGCCAATGCCTCACCATAACTCCGGACATGCTTTACAGTGCCGTTCACAACATTATTCCTCGACTACAGCTATTTGTTGAGGAATGATGGCGAACATATTGAGCATTTCCTGTAAAGAACATCATCTTTGCTTTGTCTTAATTTGTTATGCTAATTATTGCTTTTCTGATCAGATTATTGCTTTTCTAATAAAACCCCATGTTATTCTAAGTATGTGTGTCAATTTTTACCTCTCTATCTACATTATTCCGTGATTTATTAAGTTTTCAAATTTATACTGACTTTTTGATCACCCTGTATATCGTAATATGCAATGTTTTTTCATCAAAATAAATAGCACAATACGCTCACTTTTTTTAGGGTAAATTCCTACTGCGTAAAAAAGTGATGGATATTTCACTTACCGAAACATTGGTGATCCACCAAGATTGTTACTTTTTAAATTCATCTTTCTTTGTTTTTCACACAGTACCTGAAAGGATTTTTAACAGTGTGTTTATAAGAAAAACGTATGCCATATAAATAATTATATGAAGAAAAACTTATTTTAAATAAGCCGCTTCCAGTTAATTCTACAAAATATTAGATATTTCGACGAAAAAAATTTAAGAACTGAAATTATTTTAAGTGTTATCCGATTTAGTTTTTTAATTATTAGAACACTTCCTTATATAAAGTTATATGCAGGGTGTTTCATATTGAATGGGACAAAAAGAAGAGCATAATAAGAATTCTGTAATTGGTTTATTTAGCCAAAAGAAATTAAATCTGAAACTACAATAATAGAAGTTTTATCTGGCAACAGTAAAAAATCTTCCGCTTACGAAATCGCCCTATTTTTTTCTATAAAGTTATATGCAGTGTTTCATATTGAATGAGACAAAAAGAATAGCATAGTAAAAATTCTATAATTGATTTATTAAGCCGAAACAAATTAATTCGGAAACTACAATTATACAAGTTTTATCTGGCAACAGCAAAATATCTTCCGGTTTCAAAATCGCTCCCAGAAACACTGTTAATCAAAATCGCCTCATGCATGCAGGCGGAAGCGTACTGTATTTCGGAATACGCCAAAACATCATCGTTTATTGTCGTTTAAAGAATTTTCTCACGAAATTTGGTAATGAATCATCGCACATCGTCACAATGTCGAATGGTGGGTGAACAGTTTTAGGACATGGGCAAGAAAACCAGCCCAGGGTCAACAGCATCCAAAATCGAAATACTTAAAAAAAAATTCACGAAATGTTTTTACGAAGTCACACAAAATCAACGCTTCGGACGAGTTGTGAACTCAGTGTGCCTCATGTAAGGGTGTGACATATGTCACGGAAACGTCTACCATTCCGGTCAAACACCTTTCAGATGGTGCAGGTGTTAAAATCTTCCGACAAACCATTGCGTACAGCTTTCTGTGAAAATTTTCAGCGGTGGGGTAGACCGTCGCTGGATTAGCCATGCTGGGTCAAACGACATGCTATTCCTTTTCTGGCAACAGAGATCCACAGATCTAACCTCTTGTGATTTTTTTCCAGTGGAGTTTTGTTAAAGAAAAAGTGTTCTTGCCTACAGGAATTATAGCAACTGAAGCAGAGGGTAATTGAAAATGCTGTAACTAAAACTCGGACGCATTAGCAGTTTTTATCGCTAATTAATTTCCCTTTAATTTTAAACCGAAGCACGTTGTTTAAAATATTACTCGAGTAAATAACGTAACAATAATTATTGCATCTGTAATAAACATCTTACAAATGAAAGATGTCTAAAACATTCTCCTGCATATAAATTTCAAAATAAAATACGCGAAATTTTGTTATAGCATTTCAAGCAGTTTGTTTTGATTTCTCGTAGCGGTAAAATCCTAAGAGAGACCACACCCTTGGCGACAAACTGGGAAAGTACAGAATCACCCACTGTTTTGCGCATTTTTCAAAGTCGCCACTTGAAAATAACAAGTAAAAGAATTGCACAAACTCGGTATTCATGTACACATCGACCTATTTTCACTTAAAAAAACATCCCAGAATTGCACACTTCCTGGACTTTGTTCATGTACACATCGATACGCGCCATGTAAGTGGGCGCGCTAAGGGTGTGGGCTCTGCTAGGATACAACTCTATTAGCTATTCTTTTCTAATTGCCATTCTTTTTGTTGTGACTTATCTCACTTGTCTAACAATAACATCAGAACAAGCCCACGAAATTCATCGCGGCAAGGAGTGCAAGATTGCGCCTGTCATTGGCAAGGAGCACCATGCAGGTGACAGTACCATTTGGCCCAGCTTCCCCCCCCCAATTTTGATGGAGTGCATTCGGAAGGGGGTTTCCCATCTTCTTCCCGACGCGACGGTTTCCCATCCTTCTTCTCATACCACCAACCAGTCGAGAGGACTTTCAGGTCGCGGTATATTTAGAGTGCTTCCATGCTGCAGAGACACTATAGATTTACAAACATTCATGTCTTCTCCGGGACTCAAACACGGGCTCTGTGGTACGGCAGTCAGCGTCGCTAACCACTATCAGGGTAAGGCTGCTGCCATTCTTAATATCACGAATTAAAGGCATGTGTACTTCTTGTGGAACGGTGTTTGATACACCTGGGTGTTAGAATGACACCTTACCCCAAAATGAACATAGCTGAAAGTTTCAAAATATTTTATAAGTAACTTGAGATACAGTATTTTTTTTTTTTTTTTTTTTTTTTTTAAATTTTGAAAAGATTCACGGACAATAAATTCAAGCCTCAAAGCTGTCTAACTGAATCTATGTTATCAAGGTAATTTTACCACGGTAATTTTGAATCAAGTGGGGAACAAATACATATAATACACAAAAGATATAAATATACATAAATAAAAGCAAAAGAATACAGAATAACATGACAAAGTAAGTATAAAAATCAGACTTCTATAATTACGATTGGATTGAGAATGGGCATTTGCCTTTTTTCATTAGTAGCGTTCTTATAATCGTAATTATAAATTCTGAGTTCAGAATAGTACGTAAACGAATGTGAAACTGTCTGGCCAGATAAAATCTTCTCAGTGGAATTATGTTTAGTTCTGCATGAATTGCATTGTTTCTAATATAGTACGGTGCGTTTGTAATTTGCCACAGAACAACATTCCGGGGAGTTTGCAGTTTTTTACGTAGAGTTTTACATGAATACGCCCAGACTGGATAAGCGTAACGGGCATATGTCTTTCATTTTAAAGCTGGCCCCATGTCGATCTTTTCCTTTTAACAATCGTAAATAGTGCCATTCCTACGTACCGGGTATCTGGATCCTTTGTTGTCAGATCTCTGCAAGATGGTTTTTCTGTAAATACACTTCGACCAAAGGAATTTCAAATGTTAACATAGACCAGCGATTCCTAAGTTGTGGCTACGCGAGTACGTAACAGCTAGTCATCAGGGCTGCGTGAAAAAATGATCAGTGTGGCGAAATATATTACAGTGCTAAAATAAATGCTAATAAAAATCAAAATATTTTGTAAAATTTTAGTTTGGCAATGGATAAAGGAAAAGCGTTTCCGATGTGACTGATACTGATCGAAAATGTCTTCTGGAGCATTATAAGTGACAAATTATAACTAAACCTACCCACATTTGTCATATTACTGGATTTGTTACGCATCTTATATAGCCACTTCCTTTCTTACTTTGTCAGTGTATCGTATATAATCCTTGGCAGCTGGCTATACTTCAGTATTGAATAAATCCTCAAGTCAGTTTGTTATGCAGCTGTTTTCTTTTAAATTGTGATACTGTATTGGCAAACGACATTGTTTAATCGTAAGTTAGTAAGAATTGTAATCGTATAACTTATAGGCAGAAAGATATTTGGCTGTGTTCCCGTCGCCACATTTTGCCAACATTTTTCAGGTTGGTATGTGAGTTTTGATTTAGATTTGGTTATCCGACGCAACTGTGTTGCAACCTTAAATAGGAGCACCGTTATAGCAAATTGAATTGTACAGTCCAGCTACTTGCTAAAAATTCAAGGGGACATATTTTGTTTTGTGTTATTTTAATTTAAACCTCACAAGCTGATATGTAAAACTAAGCGAAGATTTTACGTGCTTGTGGGTTTGTACTTTCTTAATTAATTTGAGCTAAAGGCAAAGCTTGCACCACGGTGTTAAAGTAACTTTTAAGGTGTTTTGATTCAGATACTTAACTACTAACACTCTTCAAGCGTTATAACTTTAAACTATATTCAGTGTCTCACTCAATCAAGCTATGTACCATATTTTGTTTGAAAAGAAAATTATCGTTTTCAAAGTACTTTCGACCAAACTTTCACCTGAAAGGTATGCTCTATTATATTACTTCTAGCTGTTGTTACAAAATAAATGACTTACGTTTGCTGCACTTATCCGAAATAACTGATTCGGTGTATATTTCAGTCCTGGCAGTTTTTTTTCTATTTGATTATCATTTACCCAGGACTGATATGCCTGAAATAATGCAAGAGTAATAGTATTAATAAATAATATAGTTAATAATGTAAACATAAAGTAAGGTATCTGAAAGCAAATAATGAAATATTACATACATAATCCTATTAAAAAAGGGAATTAATTTAGGTACAAGGGAGCTATAAAAAAAAGCCTGAATGAATTACAAGAGAAAAAATTCTTCCTGAATGTTACATTTAACTCAAAATCAGAAAGTAATCTTTTATAATATTTGCTAAATTAAGTTAAATTAATTATACTGGGGAAAAGTGGCTTAAATATTATATGATATACTTTCATAATATATGTCACGCTACAAAATAATTTTTTAGTGATATTATTCTTTTATAATTTATTTCGTTCGTCGATTATTAAATGTCATTATAGCGATGTCGAGAGCTAATCAAATACATTACAAAGGAGTTCGAATGTCAGAGTTTGTCGCACAGGAGCTCTTTTGCAACAGTGGTATGATATTCGAACAGGCAGAAGATAGAATTTCAAGGTCATTATCATATTCAAGTTCATGCGAAACCCTTGCGCTGCTGCACTTCTCATTTGCACTAATAGATGGCGACACGAGCAAGTAAATTATCGGAGCCACCGAGGTGTCTCGTACTACGCAATCGTTAGAAGGGCGACTCGGAGAACTACACACATTCCCCTCTACTGAGAACAAATGACGAGCTATGTTGCAGACGCCAAGACTCTCCTTCACATATGCTTCACCTCAATCTTGACGGTGACACACATGCCAACAAACCAGCTTCTTTCAACCATGTTCCACCATGTACCAACGTACCCAACTCATGGAGGTAAAAAGTAAGAGGAGAGGCCCTGACTGGTTTTCCCCCATGCACTGCTTTGAAGCAGCCATTGCAGAGATGTTGAGGAACGAAACATCTCCACCACCTAAGGAAAAATTCTGTACCACCAATCATGATCAAAACTCCAGTTAACATTAAACAAAGTGATTATTACCTATCGACAAGGACACCACAGAAATTAGTGACATTCTAACAGACCTAGGATATGCAGTTTCCAAAGTAGTACAAATGACACAATTACGTATACGCCAACCCATGACACTTTTTCAAGAACAACTTCTTCCTACACTTTACATTGACTCAATTTATAACATCACACATTTTTCACTATTAATAGTTCAAATCCAAAAACACATATATATACAGAAGCTCTTTTTCAACAGCGGTATGATATTCGACTGCCATAACATAGATTCAGGCTCGAATCTCAAGGTCATTATCATGTTCAAACGCATGCAAAATTCGTGCGCTACTTCACTTCAACGTCAAACTCATTGAAGTTCCAAGACCTTAGATTCTCCAATCTTTTCCCCCACTTTTAAACTGTAGAAATGAGTCAAGATGCAGTGAGTAAATAAATTCGAAAACTACGTTTCAGGTCTCCATACGAGAATTTAACGGAGCTAAGTATTGATCATTATAACTGCGGATAAATTTAGTCTGCATTTGTTTGATACTAGATGCACCTCTTAGTTTCGATGTTACCAATAGAGAAAAACTTTTTAATTCAAATAAAATAAAATAAATAGAACAAAACGAATAACATTAATATACTAACATTATCATTTGGCAACATAAATTGATATTTTATGAACAATATTCAAAGCACTTATTTGGGAAAAAAATATTCCGAAATGATAAGTAGTTCAAAACATTCTGTGATTCTAAAACTCAATAATTTTAAAGTATACCCTTTTCAGTCATTTTTATATGGAAAAAGATATTCCATCTTTGAGGGGTCCGGTATTACAGCCGGTGCAATCGGTGCATCCGTATCGAACGGCAGAATTTAGGAGCACGAGAAATTGCACAGTGCGGCGAAATGCCGGAAACTGTCCCTGACTCTGGATCTAAAGAATTATTATTTACCAAAAAATGATTTGCATTTTAAATTCGATTACATTTCAGCGAGCAAGTTAGAGACTTAAATCATTTCAAATATCACTAAAACCTAAAGTTTGAAACTGTGATTTTTATTTATAGATTTAAGATATGAATGTGCTTAAAATAATTATAATTAGTTAGTTGCAGTACTATTGAAACGAGTATCACGATATCTACAAGTTTAAAAGAATGTTCTGTGTCATAAAAAACGCTCTTCAGAAATCTATGAGTAGTGCCACTTGCACAAAAATGCCACGATTCCCTTTTCGATTGTCATCTCAAATGATGTAATTTCTTCGTTGGTTATTAAAGTAATGTTGTTCTTGCCGTATCCAGGTGCACCAGCGGCTGAGCGGTATAGCCGTTGAACACGGGTAGTTCGGTCGGAGGTTCGAATCTCGCGAACGAACTGGTTGCGTGGACGTTTTTGTCGTTTTGCCCTCTGTAATGTGCATACGAACCAGTTTATTTAGAAAAACCTCTACGAAGGCACCCCTTCCCTTAGGGAGACAGCCCTCGAGTGTTTTGCCGTAATCAAGTAAACCAAACCTATCTTGTCGTGTCCATCTTCATGGAAGATGAGGAAAACTTCAAACAGGATGGACTTCTGCTTCTACCACAATTTTGAGGGAACCCACCCCAGAGGGTGGTTGGAGGGACTCCCACGCCTTTTCCCCTACCAACAACCTCTTGGGAGGACTTTCGGCTGGCCGCATATTTAGAGTCCCCCCATGCCGCAAAGACACTATACGTTTACAACATCCGTGTCTTCTCTGGGATTCGAGTCTAGGCACTTCGGTACGGCAGTCAGAGTCACTCGCCACAATTCCGTTTCGGCCGTGCATTAAGTACTGGAACATATGTACGGGTAAAAAACTGCAGACTATTCGTTTCCATATATTGAGCAGTAATTAAATAGCAGTATTTTCACTTTTGTTAATTCTATTGTAAATTTCCTTAACGCTTTGCTTTCGTGTAACTGATCTGTCATCGCTCCCTGTATATTTTGTTTTTTAAGTTCATATGAGACAGAATCTAAAATTTAGATAATTTCCTTACCAGATAAGCTATTTCGAGACCTGCAGTTTCAGCCATATTTTCTACTTTTGTGCTATTGCTGTTTACCTGCAAAGAAATAACATTTAGAATGCATGTTCAAAAATACTTTGAGTTACAAGCAGAGGCATAACCGCAAAGGCGGTTGAAAAAAAAAATTATTATACGCGTTTCCTTCTTATCTGATAATCCTCAAGTGGCTGAGAATGTAAGAACTAAACACTGGTAAAGCCAACCACCTTCATATTCCTGCAAGACTTGGAGAAGAGCGATTTTAAAGTTACCAATTGTTTTCGGTAGCTTAGGCATTTTTAAGACAGCACTTCAAGACTGCTATTGTAAAGATGTTACTGAATACTATGATCGTATTTCTGGGTACCATTCGCGATACATTCTCTTTTTATGTTCGATCATGCAATTCTTATCGCACCAAAGTAATAGAATATTCCGTCGAATCGACTGGACTACATGCTTCTGTAGATTTGTAACTAAATACATACATAGGTGAAAAATTCACATAAAAATTACGTAAATATCACCTTAAAACTATATATTTCTCGCTCTGAGTTTATGTAAAATAAAAGACATTATAAATATGAAAATAAGTGCATCTTACCCATTTCTCAAATTCAGGAGACTCACGAGCGTAATTATCATATTGTGTTACAAAACATTCGCTTTTCTTGTAGAAACGTTCGCGTGCGCTTTGGCTCCAATATCCGAGTCCATCATGTACACCTGTGATTTTGCCAATGAATATTAGTATTAACGATGGGAAAAAATGTAATTAGCAGTTTTGTAGTAGTAAAGTATAGTAGTAGTAAGTAAAGTATTCTTATGCAATAATCATAAATTTGTAATAAATATAACTCTGTTTCAAATAAAGTTTGTGGAATTATGAATGAGAAATTATGAATTCACATTTATCTGAATTCTCGTAGTTTATTCATAAATGGCTGTGTATCGGAAATTCTAAATATATGCTCTTTTTAAATCATTTCGCGATATTGCTGTTGAATTGAATTTTATGGTTTAAGTTCGAAGAACGTGATATTTAATATATAACGGTAATACACAAAACGTTAAAAAATAAGCCCCTGTTGGCGTAATATAAAATCGGAAACATTCAGATTCTTTTTATTTGGTTTTGAAATTATTTAGCTTAAATGTCCAAAAAACATTTGAACGGTTTTAGCAATAATAATAATATTCTATCCGCTAATAGCATTGCTACAAAAAGCATTGCTTACTAATTATATATTGTGATTAATTACATAAATTACTGCAAGAACTTATAAGTATATCGCATATGTTCTTGAGCTGAATTATATAAGACTGATATTATATCCTGTATGTTCAACACGACCATTAAAATATAAAAGTAGTAAATCTTAAAAGCATAATCTTAAGCACTTTACATTTTTTACTTATTACATTCTCCGCTCAAGGGATGGATGCCCCGTGGAGGTCTTTTTTAAGGGTGGGTGTACGTGTGTGATTATGACAAAGCCTCGAGGGCTATCTGCCTAAGAGGAGGGATGCCTTCGTGGAGGACTTTCTAAGAGAAACTGGCTCGTATACACGTTACACATGGGGAAAACCCACGAAAACGCCCATGCAGCCAGCCCCTTCGCGGGATTGGAACCTTGGACCGAGCTACCAGTGTTCAACGACTTTACCGCTCGGCTGCTGGTGGCCCTCTTTTTAAGGGAAACTGGTTCGTATACACGTTACAAAAGGAAACACCATGAAACTCCATGAAAAACATGCAGCCAGCCCGTTCGCCGCGACTCGAACCCCGGACTGAACTACCAGGGTCCAGCGGTTCAGATTATGGTCACTGATTGATATAATGCTAAACTGTCAGAAAAGCCTTTTTAATCTTTCAAGTGCTGAATGTTGGCCCACCAGCGGCCAAGAGGTAAAAGTTGCTGAACACTGGTAGTTCGGTCCAGGGTTCGAGTTCCGTGGTTTTCCTAATATATAATATGGATACGAGGCAGTTTCTGAGAAATTCACCCATAAAGGCGTCAGGTTACAGTTTCACTGTACGTTGCATTCCGGTAAAGACCTCTGATTTTTATCCTTTAGAAAGAAAGTAAACCTTCTCCAGGAATGGCATCTTTTCTACAAATGGTAATTAAAATACAAGGTTTGACATACAGGGGTTTTTGGTCGTAAATATTTGGTTTCATATTTGCTTCGGTAGAGTTCAATCATATACAAACGAGAGCACTTAACCTCTCTGGTAATTACTATAAAATGTACATATACGTAAATATTAAGTATTAAAAAGAACTTACTTCTATATTCATCTTCAAATAACGTACAATCTACGCAAACACACACACAAAAAGGGACAGTGCTAAATCTTTCGTTCTACACTGCCGACTGACGAAATTTAACTTTCGTTTTTCACGTCTCGAAAGCTCAATTTAGGACTTTTATTAGATTTATAATCAGCATTGTTTTACCATAGGTATTTTGACTCAAGACCGAATTCCTCCTGCACTGATTTTTTTTTCATATTGCGTTACTACGATTCAAATTATGCCTAAGTATTAAATTATGGAAAATTTGCTAAGCACTTAGAAAGAAATTTAAAAAATTATCTGGGCATGCTCTTTTTAGATTGTGTTACGAATAATGAGATACATTCCGCAAAAGAAGAAGAGGAAGAATGACCTTGCTTGTTTGCATTAGCTGTACATAAGTCACGTGATCTCTGAGGTCATCTGCATTGTTTGCTTACAAAAGGTATACATAAGTCACGTGATCAATGAGGTCATCGGAATGTATCTCATTCACTTGGCGAAATTCTTAATTTATGGTAACCTATTTTCCTTTTCCTTTCGTTGTGCACGAGCGGAAAGAAAGTTGCATCTCTCATTCTTTCAAATAATTGTAACAAACTGCTGAGCCAAGTCTGGCGTTATTATCGCTTATAACAAATACCAAAAATTTCAAAACTTAAATTCACCCATACTTTAGGAAATTTTGCATAAAAAATTCCAATTTTTTGAGGTACGTCTAGAAATGAAAAACTTATAGGTTTATAATTGGAAAGTGTTTTCGAAAAAATATTTTAAATTTAGATTTTGAGCTGTGAAAGAAGGCATCAACCAAGTTTAATCAAAAACGATATTAGTTAATACATACCAAATTCAGTTAATGTTACGAATAATGTTGAGGACTTAGAACTTTGAGAGCTGATATTTTAAAATCTAGTCGTGGGATGTTTACAGAACTTGTCATTAGTTTGAATCGTAAAAGTGAAATATGGGAAACATTAGAAATATCACTTCAGAAAAAGTCCGACTTTGTATCAGAATCCTTATTTGAAACATGTAAGTTAAATTTCGTCAATCGCCCTAGTGGAACGGGACATCTAGAACTGTCCAATTTTTTTTCTTTGTTTGCGTGCAACTCGTACTGCGTTTATAACTACCTTCTGGCATTTATAATGATGTATTTGGTTAATATAAGTACGTAAAAAATTGAGTCATAACATTTCTGCAATTTAAAAAAGTGATTTTATGTATGCTGCTCTGACTGCTGCATTGCAACTGGAAATTCGCGCAAACACCAATTTTGCAATACTTAACTTGTGCTTCAGTTGTTAGAAAGCTGTATATATGACAGGATATTTTAATATAAGTAATTTCTTCACCTGTTTTAAATAATCCATGAGTAATTTCAAGACCAATCATGGAAGCGATGGCTCCGAAATTCAAGTAACTGAAATAAATGTTTAATTAAACACAAATCGTCTCTCATTTTTTTATGTAGAAAATAAATCATAGAAATGGGAATGAAAGCATTCAAATTTGGATTATGATTAAAGAAATAGATGATATTATTAACATCCTACTTTGGCCAATCCATGTCGAAGAATGGTTGCTGTAATATTCCTGCAGGTAATTCTGCAATATGAAAGTCATTGGTAAAAAAATATAAAAATCATATTTTTTTTCATTAAAAACCAGTGCGTTTTCTGATATATAAACTAAGCTTTAAATGAGGGTCTCTTAAATCTTCCGAATCTTTTATCCGTTTGGATAGGATTTAAGTCCCAAGAAGCTCCGTATGCCTAAGTAAAACTCTCTCAAGGAGGTTTCGGGAGTTATTTGTAATCACCTAATTATATGTTATAATAGTTTGGGAGCAATTTTTCCCTTAACTTTATCCATTATTTTCATTAATAAAATAAAAACAAAAGTTATCGTAAAATGTCAATAGATATATTTTACGCACTTTCTTCATCATTTCATTGGACAATAAAGAACAAAGTCAATGATAAATTCAATTGTTTTCTAATCAAATGTTTTTTGGAGTGGAGGATAATAAATCGTTTCCTGTAAGAGCGTGCGTCATGCTTTGATGTTTAACTTTTCATATTATTTTACCCATTTGAAAATTTCAATCTGAAGTCAAACGGCACCCTTAGTTTGCTGCCCCAGGAGTCGACTGGGGGGGCAGCCTTCCACTTTCTAACTAAGAACTATACTTAGACAGACTTGGCTCCTGGGGTACATAATTCAGTCTTCACAGTGACTATAGCCATCGATTCTTCGGTAGCAGGTTCAGGTTCGACAGGGACTGTACTGGTACTGTCTTATCTGGCCCTTGGTTGTGGGGACACTATATGGTTAGATTTCGGAGGTTGTCCTTGGGGATTTGGCTGTTTTTGGTCAAGACTGGGGACGGTCTTCGACCTGACCTGACTTCATTCCCTTTGTAGGTGTTGGAGTCCGGTCGCCATTGACTTGTGTCCTTATAAGTTCGACTGTGTGCAGTTTTGCCCCACTGTGTTGACCGGGGTAATGCCTCCTTGGATCTTCTCTGGAGGAAGAGGCGCAATTAGCCCTGTTAAGAATGAACCACTCCAGACATGGGCTTGAAAAATGCCCATGTCTGGGAGTCTCCCTCCTTGGTGAGTTGCTATATTTATTGCTTATATAAAATATGAAAGAAGCATAACTCTTACAGAGATAGAAAAGCATCTAAAACTGCCATACTAGTTGAGGGAGACTTTCACAGCAAATACTTTTTTTCTCTTTTAACAGTAAAGAAAAATACATCTTTCTTTGTAAGTTTTTCGCGTATTTAGCAAGTTGCTCGCTTATTCCTGGAGTATACTACCACAATATGAGAGCAAACTATTCCAACTGCAGTATCACAATTTCAAAGAAAGCAGTCATCTCTAATTTTTGAAACATCTTTCTTCATTGTCTCAAACAGGTAAAAGATATATTTTACAACGAAATATTATCACGTTGATATAATATACACAAAAGATATAAAACATGAAAACTCATTTTCAGTTGTATGCACTTCCAGATGATGACATTTAAGAAATTTAAATGTTTACATAGAATTATTTAAATTTGAATCACATGAGGAGGAAAAGTATTCAAGACCCTAAAAAAATGTACAAAATTTACTTTTGCTGACTACTAGTTCGTTGATATCTCTCTCTCTCTCTAAATAATCACTCCAAATAAATAGAAAGAAATTAAGAATTTATCATAAAAATTAACTGTACATAGCGCAATAAATAACAGCAAATAGCTCAAGAAGAACTCAGATTTTAATCTGTATCTCTTTAGCGTTCAAGAAATTTCGTACATTGGTAAAATCGCCAGCAGAATAAACGCACAATTCAGCTAGTTCTAAATATCTTGGTTGGATAGCAACTAACAATTACAAGAGGTCATCCTTTTATGCTTTGATATTATTTATGTATTATGCTAGATTCAGTGCCAAAATTTAATGCGCTGTTAATAGCATCGTCAGCGAAGTCCATCAGGGATGCCATGTGTACGAGACCATAAATGAAGTTCCGGATTTGGAGAAGTCAAGAAAAATAAAGGAATATGAGATCCACGCCTCGTGAAAAACAAGGATCTTTGCCGATAATGAGTAGGATTATTTTGTTCGCCTTTCGGAATTCAGAAGGTGCTGGAAAAATTCTTAGACCAGTCGGAAATGTGAAAAGTGTCAGGTGATGAAATCATCAAATTCTGGACATCGGGGGAAATATTCCACTGTCTGCGGAAATCAAGAATATAAAGTAAAGAAACCCTCCTCGCATACTCGGATATTAGTACGTTAATTGGCTTCCGCTAATTATTAATTAACGCTTAGCGGTTATTGCAACTTATCCCAGGTGGAGACCTGACGAAATCACGAGACAGACTTCTTGGGCGAAACTTCTCTGTAAATTTAGAGCAGAGGCACTTTATCCTTTAAGCAGTGCATCATCGTAAAGGGAAACAAGTGGAACTTAGAGGTTGAATTGGCTTTGTAGTTACAGCAGTAGGAAGATTTCGCTATATTTCAACTGGGACCTGAGCTGACGTTTGGCTTCGGCAGGCAGAAAGTCTTCAGAAGCTGTTGACGGGACAGGGAAGCGAATCATCTTCCAGCAAGCGAGAAAATTTAATTTCTCTCCTTAAAGTAAAAACATTTGCACTAAATCTAATACAAGTTTCAGTTTTTTTCTCTGAGTTTGGATTACTTTGCATTTATTTGCAATATCTGTGATTTTCTTAAGGAAATTGCAGGTTTCTTGATCCCACAGCAAGTTTTTGATAGAAGATGAGAATTCTTCAGTGGCCTTGCTATATCTTTGTTCCTATATTTGGAATCTGTTGCGAAAGTTCGCTTGGCCTTAGATGTTTTTCTTCTACGAAGCCATAAAATAGTTTCCTTCGAAATCATATAAATGGTTTCGAGAATTCAGAGCAAATTTTTGCTTTGAGAGGATGATCACTTTGACATCGAAGGCATTTGGAAATTCCTTTGAAGGTGGTTTTTGCATACTTGAGGTAACGCGAGCGATTAAGGCATCCAAGCTATGTATGCCCAACTTGCTGTCATTTAAAACAAGTATTTAGGGTTCCATTTTCTGTGGGATCTTCCACTCATTTGAAGACATAACAGCATCCTGATATTATCTTGATATTCAATATTTTATTCGTCAGTTCTGGTTATTTCTACGAAGATCGGAAGTTAATTAATATTTTCAGTGCATTTTTGGGGAAACTGTATCTTGGCCACTGGAATTCAAATCAAACGATACTTCGATGGTTCAGTGGATTTTTCTGGTAGAGAATGAAATGTAACTTTTCTCTCTTGCCATATTCATGAAAGAAATCCTAAAGGACGTGATAGCCTCAGAAGTTCGAAAATTGGATCCTCTGTTGAGATGAAACTGCAGATGGAGAAGAAGGGAGAAGTACCTTGCCTTTGGAACACCACTTGCAGAGAGCTGGAAAGGTCCCAAGGAAATCGAGAGCAAAGAGGCAAATAGGAGTCACGTGCGTGGGTGCGGATGGTGCTTGTCACATTATGAGGTACAACATATCAGATTTTGTGCAGCTATCGAAAAACTTTGCAAAATATGTGATGCAAATATTGTTAAAAATGTCCTGCATCGCTATTCACGACACTGAGTTGGTTGCCAATATAAAATTTTCAAGAAAAGCGTGAAGCCGTCTCAAATTTCAGGCACGACAAAAACCAGAGTCCAGACTAATTTATTTTCTCAGTAACTGAGGATATGTGTTGCAAAATGTCGACTAGATCTGTCTGCATCTACGGTGAGCGAATGCGATGAGATTTATTTACCTGTTAAGGGGTGTTGGCAGCCAAAAATTTTCCAAAAATGGTGATCTGGGATTTTTGCATTTTCAGATTTTCTACACTTTTAGCTTTCTAAAAAAATACCATACTTTATGAAAATAACAATAGAAAAATCTAGTTTTAATTTTTTATCGAACGTTTTGACCAATGACGATTTTTACAAGCAAATGCATTTTTCTTAGAATGTGATTTTTTATACTCTGTGTTCCTTTTCTTAGGAACTATTGCTCACAGGTGTACACACTTTTTATGGTTCATTTATTATGTTTCGTAATATTTACTGAAATCAGCTTCTTGTGATAAACTAAGGAGGAAAAAATTACAATTTTTTTTTTGTGACAAAAGGGCTAAATATGCTAATGCAATGTTCTATAAATTACTCTAAAACTCAAAATGTTTCAAAAGCTCATTTCAATATAATCAGACAGGTGTACTTTAATTACACAAACAAATTCAAACATGATCTACAGCATATTTTGAGAAAGGGTACATCGAAAATGGCCAATGTAACATTGTCGGTATAGGGGGTTCCGACTTCCCTTAAGGATTTAATTTTAGTTCATGAGTGTAAAAAAACTACATTTTACAAGGTTTGGTATTTATCAACATTTTTAGATTTTTCTTGTTTAATTTACAAAACACATTAAAATGATTTAAATTTAAATAAAAGTATACGTATTTTTCGAATTTTGAAAGGGGGGGAGGGAATGATCGTCTGGCAATGGTGAAAAGGGGTGTATGGGGCAACAAAGACTGAGAACCACTGCTCTAGGTATTTATTAATTTTGATGTGTTTTTAACAGCTCATTATTATTTTATAATCATGTTTTAAGAAAAAACGTTATTAATTTTTCTTTTTCAGTTTAATAATTTAAAACTGACAACTTTGGAAAAGTAAATTTTTGCTGATAATTTGGGAGTCGTACTCTTGCAAAAATAAAAATTTTAACTAGAGACTTTGAAACTGTTTTATACGCAAATAAAATAGACCTGTGGTTAATTTTATCCAAATTTTTATGGTATTTAATGATTTGCTATATTTTTAGACTAAACTGATGAAAATCTTTAGTATTTAATCTTATTCCAATTCGGAAAAATATATTTTTTTTGTATACAGAAAAAAAAAAAAAATTAGTTTTTCTTTCTTGTCAGGAAAAATTTAATGCTTACAAAATACTAATTTTGAAGAGGATAACAGATATGATGATTAGCGAGAAAAATAATTTCTCCTGATGCTGATATTCAATGTTTAGCAATCAATAAAATTCAAAACGAGAGGAGAAAATGAACAGTTACCAAACTTGAGCCCCAGAGGTATGTAGAGGTATATTACAGAAAAGATGTTTGCATGTTTCTTCAATCTGGAAATAAACCCATATCAAAATAAATTGAAATGTCTTAATTTTAATGGAAGTTTCTTACATAATAGAATTTACGTCTAGTTACCATTAAATCATTGAATAATTGATGATTAAAAATCCAAAGTTTCAGATGTAAAATCTAAAGACAAAGACAAAAAATGTTGTCAGCTCATTCAATTTTTTTCTTTTAATTTTCCCTAATATAACTTTCTTAGTATTTACTCTCATATTTTACCTCCGCGTATCCTCTGTTAGATTAATAGTTAACAGTTGCTTATTCATAAATTCCTTTTAGCATGCCAAATGAATCCTGATTTCAAGTTTTTCTCTCCGAGGGACTCCTTTTAAAGAATATGTAATGCGAATGGGCCATTTTGGCAGTATTTTAACAAGCTGGAAATGCTGCTCTCTGCGATATTCCTAACTATGGTTTAATTTATTTGATTTGACAAAGCTCAAGGGCTTTATGGTTAAGGGAAGGTATATCTTTGCTGCGAGCTTACTAATGGAAACTCCTGCATAATTTGAAGTCTATCAAATGAAAAGTATTTATAAATAAATTATTGTTAACTATCAAGCTAGAGGATATATTAGGGGTGAGGAATACGTGAACAGAAGACTTCTGTTGCTCAACATTGTTGGTCCGAATATCACACTTTCAATTTTTCTGCTGCCAAAATAATTCAAAAAACGTCTTCCATTGGAGAACTGGATTTTCTAGAGGCATTTCACATTAAAAAAATCTTTCTGTTCTAGTTAACGATCCTAATTCCAATCCATCTTTGCCTTCAGCCTTTAAAGAAATTATGTTTTAGTTCTGGTTTCACCAACAGATGGCGCCACTTGCTTATTCTTGTTCAGGTTTTTCTTATCTTATCTAATCATTATTTCCTATCTTGTTCATTTGCGGTTTTGCAGCTGAGGATGGTGGTTCGGTAAAACCATCGAAACTAGTCCTGTGAAAATTTGAAAACATAACGCTGATTTTTGTTGTTTGACTTAATTAGTATTTATTCGGCGTGTTATTGGGTCTTAATTCTGTATCTGTTATAAACGGAAAACTTAGCTGCATCTGTTACGGAACTGAAGGAGAAAGCTGAAATTCTACTTCGAATGTGAAACAAGACAAGCAAAATTGCTCATTTATACTTCTTCTGAGCATTAATTGATAAATTGAGAACGCTTAGATGCTTACATAATCTGCAAATCACGTTGTTATAAGAGCTGAGGCAGCCAAATGATTAACTACGTGCTTTTGTAGCCAGAGCGGTGGAGAAAAAGAGATGCATAGAAAGTAGCTGGAGTATTTAAAAGCTCGGATCCTCTGCTTCAATCCTGAAAACAAGATCTTCCGCACTGTAGAGAAAATGTAGACGCAAAATAGGGCAATACGGATCCTTGAACAGGGGATGCTTTTAATTAAAATTAAGAATTTAAAGGGCTATTGCCAATTAAGTTAGTAATTTGCTCCAAATAAATGTAACTTGTTAATAATTTTCCTTCATATTTTTTATATTTTACGTATATATATATATATATATATATGTATGTATATTGCAAACATATCCCATATCCACGTTTTTAATAATAAATTAACAATTACTCTTTAACTCTTCTCTTCATTCTAAAAATAACAATGCAATAATTTTTCTAACATAATCTTTACTGCCTGTAATTCTGAAAAAGATCCGTCATCTATTCTCTGTTACGCACTTATCGATAAACTCTTAACCCAGCATCCGCATATTAATCTGTTATGTGACCCGGAATGTAATCTGGTATAAAAGATATTTGCTGCCCTATCTCGCTCTCTTTTGCTTCGACTCTTCTTCCTGGGTACTCTTTGGTGCGCCGCTCTCTTTACTTTATCTTGCTGGTAACTACGTTATCTAAAGCGCAATACGCTATATAAAATTTTGGGGTAAGTGCTGCACCCGTGATGATATGGGAAGAAGAATATGTTTCGATAATTAGTTCGTTGGCCAGCAATGAAAGTTATGTTCAGTTCAACCACGTCTCTTTATAAATCTGTCCTCCGTTATGTGTCGTTCAAACTACGCAGCAAATCAACTTCTTAAATCTGTTACAGCTTTCACCCAGTTCATCAAAATAATAATAATTATTGTATTATATATGCGATATAAACACTTCTAAACCAAAGCTATAAAAAGGATTTTTTACAACTTTTATTCGTTTTACTATTTCATATGCAAGAATAGGTATATTTGATTAACATGTAAATCTACGCTCTAGAAAAAGGGTAAAATAAAACCCGTAGGGCTTTGAAATTAAAAAACGGAAAGGCAGGAATCTAGAGACAACATTATTTATGGTAGGGTACGAACTGCGCGAAATTTGATCGAAGATCCTCCCCCCTCTTATCCAATAAACGAACTGTGCGACTTTTTCCTGTCCCCTCTTTCTAAGAACTTGATTTCCCAAGAAGACTGGGTGCTACAAAAAGTCCTTTATCGCCAATGTGGCATTTTATTGAAACTGCAAGCCTCTAGTTTCCGTTTATCAATATTGTGAAAAATTGAGCATAAAAACAAATATTAATTTAAAGTCTGGCGTGTGCAAAAGTAAAAATGAATTTCTTTTACACTCATTTTAAAGTTTTATGATGCTTAAAAGAATGATGAGCCAAATCTTTTTTATACTTTGTAAAAATTAAAAAATTTCCAAGTTGTAGATTTTAGTCGCTATATATATATATATATATATATCAGTTTTGATAATAAAATTGACAGATTAATGGAATACACAAAACTGATACATAATCAACCTATCAAATATCGGATTTGTAGCGCACTTTGGTTGAAAATAATTAAATTTGGTTAAAAAAATAAGTTTCTTGTCTAGATAAATATTAACAAATGTTCTTAGATAACAGATTGCTTTTAACTTTCATATTTACCACTTTAGGTAAACAGTTCTAATTTAATTTAAACAATTCTCTTTATTAAATCTAAAAATTGAATTTTTTAAGTGGTTCTAAAGTCACACTAATATTATTGCAATATATTGTAGTATTAAGCTTTCCATTTTTAGTCATTGAAGTTATTTTAAGGTTATTTAATTTTCTTATAAAGTCCATATTTTAATACTAGAAACGTTTAAATATTTATTTTGTTTTCCAGTTACTCTACTGGATGTACTTTGGCAAACATTTAATTTCTGACACACATTTAATTAATAAATTGATAATCATTCATGAGCGTCTGCAAAATTTTCGTAATTAAAAAAAAAAAAAAAAAAAAAAAAAAAAAAAAAAAAAAAGAAGAAGAAAGAAAGAAAGAAAGAAAAACGAACTCCTTTATATTCATATCTTGGGATTTTGAGTTCCCTTTGTATCCATTCCTTTTTCACATATTGTTGCATTGTATTCAAGTTTTCATGTATGTGGAATTTATATATTTTGTATTGTATTTATGCCAATTTAAATTTAAATGATAATTTTTGAAAATTCTTGCATCGTAACTCTAGTTAAGAGAAGATATTTCTAACACTTAAAGCATAATCTTCAGCATGCACCTTATTTTCTAACCACCTAGTTTCAGGCTGAATTATTTGTAATATTAATTATTTGAAATGATTTGTTAACAAAGATGGTCGCTAAAACACGCTAATAATATATCTAACTGTTGAGATTTATAATGCAACAAGTTCATGTTATTTATAATAGAATTCATTTATAATTTTTCAGCAGTATTGAAATTAATAGCAGATATTGATAATGTGATACATTTAGATTACAATGATTTAAATTGCCATTGCCTTCTTCACTGATGCTTTTATGCTACATTCCTAATATGTCATAATGGCATACAGATAAGTTTGACTCATTCAACAAACATGTAATTCTCTAATTCAGCCCACTTTTGTTCTTACGAGTGCTGTATCTTCTATTTCCTTTAATATATTGTTCAGCCTATTTTTAAAAGGTCTTATGATTAAACGGAAAAGTCACTAAACATTGGTAGTTCGACCCGAGTTTCTAATACCAGACATCCCCCAGCTCTTTCTTTTTTTGTACTTATTTACTGTGTAAAAATGTATCATAAAAATTTCAGCTCATGAAGCAAAAATATTTTTTAAATTTATTCTTAAAAAATATTGCAGAAATTTTCACCTTTATCTTATCAGATTTATAGCATATCTTTTTAATATAGCATAGCATATTAGCATATCATTTTAAAAATCCCTTTAATAAGAAAAAAACAAGGAAGGAAATTAACTCGAATTCTATGATTGATACCTTGGTCCAAATTATGTGTAACCTTTTCTAAAAGCATAGAGTTTATATGGATATCAATAAATTAAGGATTATTTCTCCAACTAATTTTCTTAACATGTACTCCAGAATTTTCTTTTCACACTGTAGCGCTTTATGAGCGTTTCACACTTTATGAGTTTCTATAATCATTCAGTTTCTGTACTATGGTAACTTTGCATACTTTCTGACAAGTAGTTATATTTTTAACCACAGTATTTTAATTCCTATTGACTATCAGTATATTATTCACTTGTTTCACTAGTGCAAATATTTATTTTGTACGCAAATCTATGCAAAACAGCAATAAAACTTCAGCTATGCGGAGTTCCTGATCGATTGCTTGTTTTAGATTGAATGAAATAAAGCTTAGTGTTACTGTTAATTAGCTTATTATTAATTTGATTGTACGTTTCTAATTAATTATATGTTCAGATATTTCCAAGTATTACACAAACTTTTCCATCCCAATTTTTAGTTTTTGGTTAAAAATATAAGCTTTTATATATTGAGAGGCTTAATTGATTATATTAATTTGCAGTACTGTTTATCTAATTCTTTTCTTCTACATAAATTTTAGAAAATACTTCTTAGCATAATAACTTAAATTTATTTACAATTTATACGTCAGTGTTCCAAACGCATAGTAATGTTGTTATAATAGATTTCATGCTAAGCCTTTTTTTAAATTTAACTATTAATTTCTGCAAACATTTACATGATTACTTTAATTAACCAAAAATATTTCTAGCACACTTTAACACACTTTCATTCGGAATAATCTTTTGCACGGCAGTGAACTATATTCAATTTTCCAGTCTAGTTCAGACATCTTGACTATTATTGATGCAATTTATAAAAAATATAATTGGTATGCTTTATAATTATTTAATTCATAATACTATTATAATACTCTTTGCTCTAATATTGTTATTAGTGAAAGATATTTGTAATGTATGTTTATCAATACCTTTTATTTTCTTTGTTAGCTCTCCCATTTATTACTGTTATTTAAGTAATTAGCCTGCTTGTTAGATATTCTTTACTTGTTCTTCTGATTGTTAATATGTAATTCTGTTTCTTTATTTTTATTTTCCTCTTGGCTACAATTGTCTTCGAAAAGTTAAATTCTAACCCTGTAGGTAACGGGGGGAAGAAATTTTGGTTCGCGCAGTTGGACTATAGCAGAACGGTTACAGCCGAAAACATCGCGGCAAAAACATCGCAGACGAAAACGTCGCGGAGAAAACAACGCAAGGCGAAAACGTCGTGCTACAAAACATCGTGGGAGAAAACATCGCAAAGAGAAAACATCGCAGTTCTAAAACATCGGAGTACAAAACATCGTTGTCGAAAATAAAGCGGTTCAAAAACTTCGCAGTTTAAAAACATCGTCGTCGAAAATATCGTGGTAAAAAATAAAGTATCTACAAATCATCGCATGACGATAACATCGCAAACATGGTTTTTTCAGGTTTTTAATAATTGTAAATGGATATTCCCGTAATGATTTGTGAGCGCAAGATGGAAAGAAGGATAATTTTTACTTTCATATTTTTTATTGATCAATAAATTTTTCCTGAGAAAATAAAAAGGATGCTTAAGCATAGAAAATTAATGCAACTTATAGCACTTAATAGAATTTTAAACCGACATAGTTAACTAACAAAGGCCATTAATAAATCATTTTTTATAAAGTTTTTACTGGTAGTTTTTCATGAAAAGTATAATCTATAAGTTGCATTAAATTTTCAATGCTTAAGTTTCCTTCTTACTTTTTCAGCAAAAATTTATTAGTTAATAAAAAATTGTGAAAGTAAAAATGATCCTTCTTTACATCTTGCGCTCACAAATCATTATGGAAATATCCGTTTACAATTATTAAAACCTGAAAAAAATATGTCTGCGATGTTATCGTCATGCGATGATTTCTAGATACTTTATTTTTTACCACGATATTTTCAAACTGCGAAGTTTTTGAACCGCTTTATTTTCGACGACGATATTTTGTACCGCGATGTTTTAGAACTGCGATGTTTTCGCTCACGATGTTTTGTAGCACAACGTTTCCGCCTTGCTTTGTTTTCTCCGCGACGTTTTTGTCCGCGATGTTTTTGCCGTGATGTTATCGGCGGACACCAGCAGAACGGGGGGAGGATTTTCATTCGCGTAGTTGTAGCCCACCCTTATTTATCATCCACGCGCACTGTGTATTATCGTACTGTGCGGAAGTTAATTAAGTTATTTGAATATATAACAATTATTTTAATAAATAATAAATTATGAATTAATTAAACAATAATTACAAGTTAAGTAATAATTAATAAATATAATTATTAATATTAATTAAGTAATTATTAATTAATTTGATGCTCATAAACTATTTAATTAAATTATTAATAATTTTAATAGTCATTTTGTTTATTTATTTAATCTTGTTCCTCTTTCGTGATGATCTTTCACAGGGCTCCGGCACTTCTACTTTTAGAAATTAAGCCCTAATCTGAAACCTATCAGCCTACTCTACTTGAAATACAAAATTCACGGGTTGTGATTGTTAAAATGTTACCTACTCTTCTCCCAATTTTTTTTTCCGAAGCATAGAGAACGAGTAATCAGTTGACCACTTTCGAAGCATCAGCATTTTGTAGAAAAAATGTTCGTTTTTGAGGCTCTCCCAAGTTCTGTTGTGCAGCAGCAGCATTTTAAAAAAGTTTTCATCCTTGAGGTTCAACTGCAATTTAATAATTAAAAATGTATAAGTAATAATGAATAGCTTGAAAAATCCTTATATTGCACTGCAAATTCCGGGGAAAATTTCAATTGAGTAAGTAATAAGAAACTTACATTACTGTAAAATTTGCACATAAAGGTATCATTCAGAAGCTCTTTCGGAAGCGCAATGCTTGCGTTTGTGACATTAATCTGTAAGATATAAATGGTTAATGCTTTCCTTATCTGAAAACTCCTGTTAAGTGTAACACTGGATATACCGTACTAAACACTTTGCATACACACACGGGGACAAAAAAAAAAAAAAAAAAAAAAAAAAAAAAAAAAAAAATTCTGAAATGTTTCATATTTTAAATTACGTCCAAAGGGGCGTTTTTTAACATTTTGTGTGTTACCTTTCTTTATTAAATATCATGTTCCTCGCACTTAAACCATAAGATCCAGTGCAACAGCAATATCGCAAAATAGTTTTAAAACGAGCATATCTTTAGAATTTCCGATACAGAGACTCACGCGCTGGAGATAAAAATGTTTTTTTGCACAACGTTTGCCATTGCTCGCTTTGAAATCCTTGAGTTTGTTAATCAAAAAATTCGTCAAAGTTTTAAAAAATAGGAAATCGATCATAAAACAAATTTCAAATTTCAAATTGGGTTCTTCCACATGCTCATATTCGTTGGAGGATTACGTTATTCAAAATTAGATGACTCTATGTACCGTTTTTTTAATCACAATACGAGAAATATACATACATTTATGCAGATTTTTTCATTATTAATTTCTTCAAATATAATGCAGGACTCTAACATTTTGTGGCAACAGTTGGAAAAGTGAACCGACATTTATGAGTCCGACGCAAAATGCCAAAACGAAACTAATAGTCCTTCGGGATTCAAATCCCTTTGGACTAAAAAAAAAAAAAAAAAAAAAAAAAAAAAAAAAAAAGACAGTTCTATATGTCTCCCCTTCTACTGGGCTGATTCACGAAATTCAATTTGCATTTTTCTTGTACGATTTAGGACATGTATTACATTTATGATAAACATTGTTCTTACATAGGTATTTTTACACAAAAACGGATTTTTATGATATGACATACCGATTCTTTTCCGTATTTCAATTTTGTGACTCATATTACGCCTAAATATTACATTTTTTTAAAAAATTTGCTGAGCAACTTAGTAAGAAATTTAAAAATTTACTTTGGCTGACTTATTTATACCAAGAATAATTCACTTAGCGAAATTCTTAATTTACGATATCCTATTTTCCTTTTCCTTTCATTACGCACGAGCGGAAAGAAAGGTGCATTGTTCACTTTTTCAAATAATTTTAACAAAGTGCGTAAGCCAAATTTGGAGTTATCTTTATGAGAAACAAAAAAAAAAAATAATAATAATAATAAATAAATAAATAAATAAATAAAATTTAAATAAAATTTCGTCAACAAATTATAAAACTATTTTTATAAAAAAATTTAAATGAATTTCACACCTGCGTAAATACTTTAATTTTAGAATTAGTATTTAAATATTATTTTAGGAATAACTGCTGATCTTTTTTTTAGTTATTATTTTAATAGAAATCTTTAAAAACTGATATTCAATTTGCAGTTCACAAATCACCATCTATTAAATTCAGCTCCTCAATAAATTCAAATATGTTTGGGACGAAGATGATTTTATTGATGTTCGTCGAAAACATCGCGGCAAAATACATTGCAGATAAAAACGTGGCACAGAAAACAACACAAAGCATGGCCGTACGAAACATCGTGGGTTAAAACAAAGCAAGGAGAGGACATAGCAAGGACATAGCAGTTCTAAAACATCGTGATACAACATATGGCCATTGAAAATAAAGCGGTCCAAAATTCTGCAGTTTGAAAACATCATCTTCGAAAGTATCGTGGTAAGAAGTAAATCATCGCATGGCGATAACATAATGAATTTTGATCTCAAGAACAAATGAGGAATAATTTTACTTTTATATTTCTTTTTTTTGAATTAACTGAGGAATTTTTGCTGAAGAAATAAGAAGGAACTTTAAAAACTAAAAATGAGTAAAAAAATAATGCGTATAGTAGTTAACTTTAAACTAGTATAGTTAACTAACAAACGTCATTAATAAATTAAAAAATCACTTTTATAAAGTTTCATTGGGAAGCCAATAAAACTGAAACCAAAATGTACCAAAATGTTTTAATAATAAATCAAAATGTAGTCTAAAAATATTTCAAAAAGGAAGATTAGTAACTGCATGTGCTTATCTGTATTAAAATTGCTTAGTTAATTATCAAATTATAAAATTCTGTCACTTGTTATACATAACATGCATATTCTAGTCATTTTCAGTTTCTGAATACTTAAGTTTCCTTATTAATTTTTTAGCATAAATTTGTCAGTTAATTAAAAAATATTCTTCATTCCTTCTTGCGCTTACAAATCATTATGCAAATATGCATTTACAACTTTTAAAAAGGCATGTCTGCGATGTTATCAGCATGCGATGATTTATAGGTGCTTTCTTCTTTTACCACGATATTTTCGACGACGATGTTTTTAAACTGCGAAATTTTGAATAGCTTTACTTTCGACGACGTTTTGTACTACAATGTTTTCTTCCACGATGTTTTGCACGATCACATTTTTACCTTTCGTTGTTTTCGGCAGCTATGTTTTCGCCTGTAACTGATTTTAATAAGCAGTAGGTACTGTATAGATTCTCAGAATGGCCGGTAATCTTTGGTCTACCAGGCACAGGTATGAAGGCAAGCCTTCACGTTTCGGCAACCTATTTTCTTACAACATGTAATCGGACAACTCTTTATTTAGACTAGAAGAGAAACACGCTAATGTGACAATCAAAATCGTGAAAACAACCTTGTATTTAGCGTAGGTATAATGAAACACTCAATCGATTTCGAGGGCAGCTAAAGGTCCCTCCTCATCAGGAGAAAGAAATACCTAGAAAGAAGAAAATAAAGGAGAAGGAGTCACAGAAACACGTGGTCCTTTGGTCCTTATCAGCACTGCACGTGGTTATAACTAGATTTTTAACCAGATACTTAGATACTTAATTTGTTTGATACTGGGCTTCTACTGCACTGGGGCAGTACTTCCCAGTAGCATGAAAGAGATCCCGAGGGAACCTGGCATTAATGGGAAATCAAGTAGATCCTGAAGCAGGAAGTCTTGAGAGGATGCTAGGGAGAGAAAAAATGATATGGATTTCAGCATGTGCCGCCATCTGGTGGCGGTGAATGTGGTGACAAAGTCAGAGTAATCTGCACGAGATGTAAATAATTTATTTTGTTGCATTTATTGCAGTTGAATGTTTAATTAGTGGCATAAAAAATATTTTAATCAGAGTTGCACTGGTCACCTACTTTTACTGAGACAGGCTATCTGATCAAGCATAAAGAACAAGAAAAATTAGCGAAGTTAAAATAGGGAGCGAGGGGCAAATGCACCTCACGCTCAAAATCTGAACGTCAAATAATGGAAAGCAACCACTGAACGGATTTTTATACCCTCTGGTAGTACCAAACGCGAGGAGGTAACTCCATCTATCGGCAAAAATAAATGAATTAAGATAGTAGAATTTTAAAGGCATTAGGAAGGACTGGATTGGACTTCAAATCATTAACTAAACCTTCTAAATCTTTGTGAATGTGAAAAGCCTCAAGAAAATCCAATTCACCTAATGGAAAGAAGCCTTTTGGAATAATTTTTGCAGACCCAAAATCAAAATTATGGTTAAAAGTTTCCAACTATGGTTATGGTTAAAGTGCCATATCTATTGAAGACTTGTTAATTTTGCCTTTTCTGACATAAGATTCATGTTCCTTGATACGAACACTTCAACGCTCCTTTTTGTTTTTGGCCAATATATCTTAAACTACACATTGACACGATATACTATAAATTCCCAAAGAATTCAAGACAGAAACGCAATCTTTTAGAATCGAAGGGTGAATTTTATTATAGGGAGAAACCGACTTGAAAATTGAATTTCTGGAGAATCCGTACCAATTTTATAGCTAACAGAAGGAATAAAATGGAAAGCACGACAAGTCATTAATAATTATTTCTAACAGTGGAATGTCTTCTTTGATGGGAATCTTAAAATGTTTTAATGGCTTTATCAATAATCACGGGAGAAAATCCACGGTCAATCGCAACTGCTCTCAAATAATTAAGTTCATTGGTAAGCAAAGATTCAGAGGAACAAACTTTAAGCGCGCGGAATACATAATAGTAAAAAGAAGCCATTTTTTGCTTAAACAGGGTGGCATGACTTGGCATGGGGTGGTAAACAAACTTCAAAGGGTTTACGGTACACAGTGGTGCTAAAATCAGTTTCATTGCGGATTATAAGAATATCGAGGAAGGGGAGGGAATTGTTGGATTCAGTTTCAAGAGTGAATTGGATGGCTGGATCAATTTAATTCATAATAGATAGAATCTCGGATAAATCCTCTTTATAACCGTCAAAAAGTGCGAAAGTGTCGTCAACATACCGAATCCAAAGACGAAAAGATAGTTTATTAAATAATTTCATCTCAAAATAGTGCATATAAATGTCAGCAAGTACCGGACTGAAAGGATTACCCATAGCTAGTCCTTCAACTTGACGAAAATATGCATTTTGGAAAACAAAGTGGGTTTGACTGAGATAAACTTTAGTAAGCGAAACCAACTCATTAATTTCAGTATGTGTGAAGTGAAATTCCCGAAGCCTAGTTTCAAGACAATTTAGTGCTCCTTCGACCGGAACATTAGTAAACAGAGATTTGACATCAAATGAAACCATAATGGAACGAGTGGAGAAATATTTTAAAGTTTATCAATAACTTCAACAGAATTTTTTACAGTGTGAATATTGTTAGCAAGTAGAGGAGAAAATCTGGAAACTAAATATTTGGCCAAAGGATATGAAGTAGTACCTATGTTGGAAACAATTGGTCGAAAAGAAATACCGGTTTTGTGGACTTTTGGAAGAGCATAAAGTCTAGCGCAATTAGTAATAGGTGGAATAAGTGATTTCTTCAACTGAGTTGGCAGAATGTGGGAAGATTTAATAGCACTTTTTACTTTCGTGAGGTCCGAAATTGAAGGATCTTTAGGGATCGGCAGTATGGGCCTTCATTTATCAGTTTAAAGACTCAAGTAATATATGTGTGTTCGTCCATAACAACGATCTGTCCGGCCTTATCAGCTTTAGAAATAATGATATTAGTATCAGAATGAATTTCACGTAAGATCTCATTTTCCTTTTTGCTAAGATTAGAACCCAAAGATTTGTTGTTAAATTAACGTTATGAGTAATTAGGTGGCGGATTGTATCCTTCTGCGTTTCCGAAATTTTGGAGAATTTAAAGGCTTGCTCTATAGGGGCGATGATTTGAGGAATTGAAGGTTTAGATGTCTTTGAAAAGTTGAAATTATATTTTAATACTTTTAACTGATCCTCCGAAAGATTCCTGTTGGAGGTATTAACGATGGGGTTAACGTTTACAGTGGGAAGATCAGCTAGATAGTTGGGACTATCCGACTGCTGTGTGAGTTTAAGGAATTTAGAAATAAGCGCATTTTTATGCCGTTGACAAACGGTATCGGTTCTAGACCAGGATGTATGTTCAAAAGAGGAAACATTTTCAGTGGAATTAGCAATTTTTAAATGGAGGTAATATAATTCAAATTCAATTTTAGATAAACGTTTGCGTGTGTCCCTTATAATGTGACGAAGAAGTGCCAATTTGAATTTATGCAAAATTTTTGAAACGTGAACGGAAGCTTTAAGGCTACATTTCACATGTATAAATTTGGGAATGATATTTTGATGTCTGCATTTAAGTAGAAACTGTAGATGATTCAAGAATTTCGAACGCTTAAGGCGTAAGTTACGCCTTAAGTTATCAAGGAATATGAATCTTATGTCAGAAAAGGCGAAATTAACAAGTCTTCAATAGCGTATCATAGTTGGACTTTTAACCATAATTTTGATTTTTGGGTTTGCAAAAATTATCCAAAAGGCTTCTTCCATAGGTGAATTGGATTTTCTTGAGGCTTTTCACATTCACAAAGATTTAGCAGGTTTAGTTAATGATTTGAAGTCCAATCCAGTCCTTCCTAATGCCTTTAAAATTCTACTATCTTAATTCAGTTATTTTTGCAGATAGATGGCGTTACCTCCTCGCGTTTGGTACTATCAGAGGGTATAAAAATCCGTTCAGTGGTTGCTTTCCATTATTTGAAGTTTAGATTTTGAGCGTAAGGTGCATTTGCCCCTCGCTCCTTATTTTAACTTCGCAAATTTTCTTGTTCTTTATGCTTGATCAGATAGCCTGGCTCAGTAAAAGTAGGCGGCCAGTGCAACTCTGATTAAAAATCTAGTTATAACCACGTGCAGTGCTGATAAGGACACGTGTTTCTGTGACTCCTTCTCCTTTATTTTCTTCTTTCTCCTGATGAGGAGGGACCTTTAGCTGCCCTCGAAATCGATTGAGTGTTTCATTATACCTACGCTAAATACAAGGTTGTTTTTACGATTTTGAACTCTTTATTTGTTTGAATGGTTTTCAGACAATTACCGAATGACTAATACCAAAGAAAAGAAAGCATCTTTGATTGATTATTCTGCTTCAGTGCATAAGAGAGCGCAACAGCATTCACTATCTGCCATTCAATTTCTTTCAGCCGTAAAAATCTGCGTAGTTAGCATATGTTCGGTCCATCAATTGTAATTGGCTGTAACATACAATATTTGCTTACTGCCATCTGGATACGCAGCAATTTTCAGCCACTTAATATTCAACTACGCTTGCAAAAATTGCTAATTTGCATTGCGTATTACGCTTGCAAAAATTGCTAATTTGCATTGCGTATTTAACTTTTAGAATCCAGCGTATAATGCAGTTACTTGAAATAAGGATAAACAAAGAGGATCATTCTGAGGGCATTACAAATCTACGAAAACAATGAAACTATCCTCCCTAACTCGATCTGAGATAAAATGAAATGTTGGTTGTACATTTAGGCTTATCAATTGTATACTGCCTGCAGAAACTTGCATTGGTTAATGAAATAGTTATGTATTTATTGTAATATTTAGAGTTGAAAATAATAATATAATAATAAAATAATAATAAGGGAAAATAGAACAAACCAGATGCCAGTAATTCAATTTGTCGTTTTCTTCCATCCAGTAAAGGTTTTTCAATATATTCAAAAGTTGTTGTTTACTGTATTTAAAAATCTGTAGAGCCTGAAAGATTAAGGAAATAATCTTCAATAAATTACTCATTAATGAATATTGATATTGAATAATAATGAGGTCACTTTAATAAATTACTGATGATGTTGGTTTTAGGAAGTTATTCAAGATAAATATTTTAGTGTATAAGAAGGAAATTTTAATGACTTTACGAGGGTTCTAGGACCAACCAGGTTAAACAAAATTGCCGTCAGCTGTGACAACCAAAATGGAAAACGTTTTCGTGAATAAAATGTAAAATAATATGCGTAGCTCCGGTAGAAGTGATAATGCAACATATACTTTTGATTCTTCTTGAATTTTCTGCTTTCTATGTTAAAATCGCGGAGTAAGTTTAACTTAGTTTCTGTGACAAATACAGAAATACATCGTATTTCCACTTTAGTTCAATGCACTTTTCCTATCAGTGTGGTTCACGATATTTACTATGTGCTAATTTTCTTGAGTTTTGATTAGTATATAAAACTTAAACTAAAGTACGTTTACAATTAAATGAAATATAACTTTAGTCTACAAAGTGAAGAATACAATACAAGTGACACCAATTTTTTCAGCAATTCCAGCTACTTAATTTCTTTTTAAAAATTTTTAAAATGTTATGCTACATTTAAAATCCGAAATTTCACGCGTATTTAAATATCAAATTGGTAAAGACAGGTGTCAAATAGCTCTACAAATAATGTATTGTCATATGAGCGGCGTACATTGTTCAGGAACAAAGCTTCGACAAAAGGTTCAACAATCTGTACTAACGATGTGAAATAGGCAGAATTCTACAAATTATTCAATTGGTTTCCGTTAATATTCTTTTCCTGAAATGGCCACCAATGGACAACTGCTGAATACTGGTAGTTTTACCCAGCAAACGAACTCACTTTTTCAGAGTTTTGCGGTTTTCCTAATATATAATGTGAAGACGAGGCAGTTTCTGAGAAATTCAAGTATAAAGGCGTCTCTTCCCTTAGGTAGATAGTTCTAATATGCTTTGAGCGGCCGAGCGGTAAAGTCGCTGAACACTGGTATTTCGGTCCGAGGTTCGAATGCCGCGAACGGGCTGGCTGCATGGACGTTTTCGTGGTTTTCCCCATGTGTAACGTGTATACGAGCCAGTTTCCCTTAAAAAGTCCTCCACGAAGGCATCCCTCCCCTTAAGCAGATAGCCCTAGTGTGCTTTGCCTACTTAATAAACCAAACCTTACTTAATAAAATATTTAAATAAACTAAACCAAACCTAATGTGCTTTGCAATAATCCAAGAATTCCAAACCCTCTCCTGTATCACTTCCTCTTAACATGTTTCTTTATAACCAAGGAATCAACGTACAAACGAGGCTGTATATAAAACCTTTAATAACACTTTTAAGAAGACGAATGAACTGAACAAGTATTAAAACAACACTTAATTTTTACTAAAAGAATATCAGATTAACAAAAGTAAAAAGAAAGTAATTTTACAATTGGTAATTGCTTAAACAATTTGAATATAGTTAACCTTATGCAATTACTCATTTCTCCTTTTTAATTTTTTTAGCCTATTTATTTCACGAAAAACTTCCAATATAACCTTATAAAAGAGATTAATTACGTAATAATTGTTAGTAATTAAGTGCATAAATTTAAAATTCTGTTAACTAGGTAGCATTAATTACACATTCGTACGCAGCATTAATACGTACGTACTCGTACCTAGCACTCGGCCCACCAGCGGCCGAGCGGTAAAGTCGCTGAACACTGGTAGTTCGGTCCGAGGTTCGAATCCCGCGAACGGGCTGGCTGCATGGGCGTTTTCGTGGTTTTCCCCATGTGTAACGTGTATACGAGCCAGTTTCCTTTAGAAAGCCCTCCACAAAGGCATCTCTCCCCTTAGGCAGATAGCCCTCGAGGCTTTGCCATAATCACACACACACACGTACCTAGCACTCATTTTCTGCTTATTTTCAGCTTTTGAATGCTAAAATTTCCTTCTTACTCTTTTAGCAAAAAAAATTATTAATTAATCCAGAACTATGAAATATGCAGGTAAAATATTTCTCATTGTTACATGTGCTTACAAATCATTACGCAAATATACTTTTACAACGTTTAAAGGCTGAAAAACGCGTATCTGCGATGTTATTATGGCATGCGATGATTTATAGATACTTTACTTTTTATCACGATATTTTCGACGACGATTTTTTTAAACTGCGAAGAATTTTAACTGTATTGTTTTAAACGACGATGGTTTGTGCCACGATGCTTTAGAACTGTGATGTTTTCCCTTTGCTTTATTTTCTCCCACGATGTTTCCGCCTTGCGTTGTTTTCTCCGTCACGTTTTCGTCCGTTTTCTACTGTAACCGTTTCAGTTTAGAACGGACCCTGCGCTTTAAATGCTACTTTCCTTTTTCATTCCTTTCCTTGCTTTCTTTTCCTCCCGCAATGTTTTGTAAGACGAAAACCACGAAAACGCCCATGCAATCATGCCGTTCGTTAGAACTCGAGCCCCCGACCGAACACCGCTCGGCCTCTGGCGACAACAACGAGAGTTCGCCTCTGGTGGGCCGTAGCTTTCGAGAGATATTTAGCATCATAAATACTCAAAAGGCAAAATCTTCCATGGTTTGCGTGGTGTTCAAAATAACTACTTAACTTAAAAGAGTATTATTTGTAATGCAGGAAAAAAAAAGGTCTTTATTTTTTAGTAGATACTGATAAAATGAGAAGGACCATAAAATGCTGCATATTAAAAATTTTCAACGAAATTTTGTACTTGTTTAAAACTGTACAAACCATTTTCTGTTGTTGTAGATATTAATAAGTAGCACACTAAAAAATCGATGCGAATGGACGCATGCATGCATCGTAATGTCTATTGATAAAATCTGTAGTTAGGAAGGAGATGGCCAGTTTGGGCTTCTAGACGTTGTGCAGAAAGTGCAAAACTACAACATCTTAGAGTTCTAAAACCCCTCAAATAATAATTTAATAGAACTCATTTGTAGAGTTTACTCTATCCGATTCACTTCGATAAATTAACTGCCTCACACTGATGCAGTTCGTGTATCGAGCAGAACGTGGTATGATGTATCGATGCATCGTGTTTCGATTAATATATATCGATGATATGATGCGTCATGTATCGATGAACTCAAAATTATCCCAAATTAAAAGAGAAACATACTAATGTAAAATTTTAAATTGTGCAAAACAGCAGCATTATTTTTGTGTTTATTTTTAATAAACAATGTTCGTTTTTTTAAAAATTTCTTCTCTGACTTATTCTTGGTGAATTTATAGCATATCTTGTAAGTGGGGTTTAAGAGATATTAACGAAATTAAAGGAGCGTTAAAATGTCGCTTCAAAGATCTTATAAGCGAAATGCAGAAATAAATAAATTTTCAGTAGGTCATAATTGGAAATTTAATTTCCGCTTTGACTGTGGTTCTGCGAAAATTATTCATAAAACCTTCTTTATTTCATGTACTGGATTTCCTTAAAGCTTTTCCCCATTCACAAGTATTTACTTCCTTTAACTGATGACATTACCGTACTATATTCTAGCGTATAACGGGAACTTATAATTTCAAACTACATTTATTTAGATATATTCGCAGCATAACTAGAGTCTGATTACCTATTAATCGTTTTAACATTCTTATGCGTCAAACGAAGTCCTGCTTTGTAGAGACATTAGGTTATTTTTAAGCTGAGACATGAAAAATGGCAAGGCCCTTGCCGAGACTCAAACCTGGACCTCTTGAACACGCATTGCGTGTGCTACCGTTACACCACAAAGGCATGCAGAAAGAAGAAGAAAAGGGAGACTGGGGATTAGGGGACCCAGTCACCAAATCCTGGTGAAGAATCATCATCCACCGCCTTTTAGTTCGGGTGCAACTGTAGAGACATTTTTTTTTTTTTTTTTTTTTTTAAAGCATGAAAAATAAGCAAAGCCCTCACCGGGACTCGAACCTGGGCCTTTTGAATACGGATCGAGTGTGCGTAGCCGTTACGCCAAGAAGTCATGAAGAAAGGAGGAAGAACATACCTTATAGCTTAAGTTACATAGAATTCTGATTCCAAGAGTACAAACAAAAGGTAAATCAAAACTAACCGTCCCAAATATTACGCCTTAATGCTATAATTAAAATTTAACCAAACTACCACTTCTACTTGCTACGTATCAGAAGTGCAAATGCTTAAAAACTGTAGACCGCCAGAAGTACCAGTCCAGCTTTCTGCTACGCATGCTTTAGGCCTAGGCGCTAGTAAATACAAGAAATCAATCACCACAGCCAGACTACGAAAAATGCTTACGTGTCCCGAAAATAAGCTGTTTGTCGATACATTGAAAAGATCTTTCTCTAAATTATACTTCCACTTGCCATCTAAAATCCACGAAATTTTTATTCTGTTACGGAGGCTCTCGGGATAACTCCAAATTAGAGGGAAGAATTAATGTTGAAATAAGTTTTGCTTAAATTTCCTTCTACCAGAATTAACAGACTCATTTTTAAATTAATTTTTTTTTAAATTGGATACTCTAACATGTGGATTTCAAGATAAATACACTGGATCTTTGTATTTATTACGAAATAAAAAGAAATGAAATTCAATGTGCAGTTTTGAACGCATTCGAAATAGTGAAATTTTTATACACATAAAACTTGTAACTGCTGTAAATAATTCGTAACCGGAATTTGTCTTTCGTAAAAATTGTCACTGCCAACACTGAATAGTAATTTAATTGATTTATGAACGAATTGAGAGCGTATTTCACACGTGTAGACGAGGACGTTGATATCTTTTAAATCAATTTGGCTGCTGATATGGTTCCCTGATACCTACATTTGAGAGAATATTAAACACATTTTAGTTTCAACTATAAATTAAAAGCACTGAATTTCGAATAGGCCAAGTCAAGCGCTTGTCTCGACGTAATCTGCAGATTACGGATCTATAAAATAGTGGGATAAATGGAATCAGTACTCACAGCTTCTTTACTTCCTTCTTTGAAGTCTCGTTGTCGCAAATAGTAGGAACTGAGAGCTAATCCCAACTTATCTCTAATGATAGAAAGGCAGTAGTTCAATCGAGGCTGCTCGTTTAGAATATCTGTATCTGCAGATCTTTCTGCCAGAGTTCTCCAGTACTTCGAAAGCATAGGCAAAGATTCATGAACGACTCTCCACACCATGTAATTAATGACTACCCTGAAGAAAAGAAGTAAAATCTACAAGATTAATGAAGAGAACCCTCTGACCCGCAAGATCGTATATATACGACCTAGAATATTTTTGTGATATCTGTAAGACCGTATATATACGGTCATGAACGACTCTCCACATCATGTAATTAATGACTAACCTGAAGAAAAGAGGTAAAAATCTACAAGATTAATGAAGAGAACCCTCTGACCCGCAAGATCGTATATATACGACCTAGAATATTTTTGTGATATCTGTAAGACCGTATATATACGGTCATGAACGACTCTCCACATCATGTCATTAATGACTAACCTGAAGAAAAGAAGTAAAATCTACAAGATTAATGAAGACAAACATCTGACCCGCAAGATCGTATATATACGACCTAGAATATTTTTGTGATTTCTGTAAGACCGTTAATATACGGTCATGAACGACTCTCCACATCATGTCATTAATGACTACCCTGAAGAAAAGAAGTAAAATCTACAAGATTAATGAAGACAAACATCTGACCCGCAAGATCGTATATATACGACCTAGAATATTTTTGCATTATCTGTAAAACCGTACATATACGTGCATCATAAAATACGGCTTTCTTGCGCATGTTTCGTTCATGAGTCCAAATTCCGTCAGCCATCTTACATAAAACGTGGAATTTCAATAAGAAAAATTACATATTTAAATTATTGAATGGAAATGGTAAATATGATTCCCAATTTAATTCATTATACAAAAGATAACCTTCACCATATTCAAGTAAATATCATGTAAAGCTATATACATTGTAATCATATATCATATTTGTATTTTAAGATGATTAAAAACTCTTAAAATAACGCAAGAACGAATGTAGAATTTTATGAGAGGGATAGAATGATAAATATACTTCGTTCAAATAAGCATTAGCTTTACTTTTTACAATAGTACAAAAAAGTTTCAAGGATTATTTATGAATTATTGGCAATTGCTTAACTTTTCCATGCCTTCTTTGAACTACATATACATTCATTTTAGTCAGTTGAAGCGACCTATTTTATAATACACTTTTTAATTACGTTAAATTTGGCGGCGAACGAATTACATTGATTTACCATTATCATTGTCACGTAGCAGTGATTTTGGATAGGTAACTGATATTAAAACGAGAAATTAACATGTTTTTTTATTTCATTATGTGCTTCGCCATTAGGCACAACTCGGAAAGGGAGAGATGTTTCTCTAAGACTTCTGGAAGACTTTTTTTTTTATTGAAAAATGGCTCGTATCCACATTACACAAGCAGAAAACCACGAAAACGCTCAGTCAGCCATTTCTAGTCTCTTAAATTCGAACCCCGGACCGAATTACCAGTATCATGGGCTTCTACCGCTCCGCCGCTGGTGGACGAAGGAATCAACAAAATCAAGCACGTTTTCGGATGGGAGCATTATAAACGTTTCAAGGCTTTCTTGTTACACTATCGATTGCACTCCTTTCAATCGATTACTTAAGTCAGTTACTTAGCTACCTGCAGCTTTTATTATTACTCTAAGAAAAGGTGGAAATTTCATTAAATTCACTAATTTATTCTCAATAAAATCCATTTTGTTTAAGATGAAAATGTGTCTTTCTATCCCTAAAAGTAAGAACATCTAATTAAGCATTTTATTGAACGATTATATAGAGGAGCCCAAAATCGCTAATCTTGTTTATTGCGGAGAGTCTAAAAAAGTATTATGATAAATCATTAGCGTAAACCAACACTATCTACTAAAATACGAAAAGAAGAGAAAAATCTCATGGTCTAATAAAAGTTGTAGAAAACGCTGTCATAGTATTTCCAAGTCATGGAAATTTGGCACTTCAACACGTACTGGGACTTCTGAAACTACAGACATCTTAAATTATGTGTCTTATTTCTCATATCAGCAACCAGTTTTACGCAGGGTCATTTTGAAAGAATAAACGTAATAAAAATAAAATAAAATATATATGTCTGTAAAATCTTTTGTTTCTTTAATTTCTTCTATAACATCCTCACACTTCCAGTCCTATGCATTAAAGAACAGTGGCTCTTCTAGAACAGTTCTCTGAATCTGGCGACTCCCAAAGCAATTTTACGCGGCCCACGATTTCACTTAAAATATATATTTATTACAAATACAATGATTTTAAAATTTTAGTTATTTGAAGTTTACGTTTATATTATTTTCATTACCATAAAAGAATTAAAAACGAACAGGAAACATACACCAGAAAATCTACAAATGGAGGTAATTCATTTACAGTGTGATAAATCATATACAAAGATTTAAAGACTGCATTTAAGTATTAACTCTTTAACTACAAATTAAAAAAAATACCTCATTTCCTATCCAGGTGAACAAAATATGTCATAAATAAGGTAAATTTACAAATGGGAGTTTTTTGACAAAGGGTTTTCAAGCCAAAGGACACATTTGTCTCAACCGTAGTAAACGGTGGGATGCATATGTCTCACACGTAGCGATCGACTTATTATAAGCACACCTATTATTCTGGAAAACTTTATTATATGAAATAGATTTTACATTGTATAGTACAGGGTAAAGCATTCTTGGCATAACTGAACATTTCACATTGGCAACTCATATCTGTTCTTTTCTCTGTGTTCATTTGTATACAAATAGCACAGCGACATCTTGGTTTTTCAACTATTGGAAGGTGATCCCCTACGTTCAGGAGATTCGAAGTACTTTTTAACCCAGCCGTAATTTTTAAGTCAAAGTAGTCAAAGGATTCATCTCTTTACTACTTCGAGTTGTTTTCTATTAAGAAAAATTATGCTTAAAGATTAAAAAACTTTAAATAATAATAAAAAAAGCATAAATCTATATAGTATATATAAAGAAGAAAGTATGCTTGTTTGGTCCTCTAATAATTCAGTCACTACTATAGCTATCTTCACTAAACTTTGTACCATTATTTTCTGGGTCCTCGAAAATGTCGACGTTCACTTCCCCCCCAAAAAAAGACTAGTAAAAACAGAGATATTAATTAAAAAATCGGAGAAACGATTATTTGGCCCTCATTCTTCTGAGTGGCAACAGTCTTGCTAGCTGGAGATGAAAATCTGATTTATTTCGAAAGTTGTTGCCACTGACCACTTTCAGATCCTAGAGTTTGTATATAAAAGTTCCTAAGATTTACGATGAAATAAAAAATAACGTGTGCAAAGATTAAATACATTATTACCTATTCCAAATATTCCTGGGAAGCCATTTCAACTATTCTCGTCTTCATATGACTTAAATCAGCCTGTATATTAATTAAAAACTCCCAAAACCTTAATTTTCGCATTCAATTTTCCGAGTGGCAACAGTCTCGCACGTTGGAGATAAAAATGCTTTATTTCGAAAAGTCTTGCTACTGCTCGCTTTCAAATCGTAGTTTTTTTTAATAAAAAATTTGTAAGTTTTGCAAAATCTCTCTATATAAGGAAGAATGTCTGTTTGTTTGTTTGTTTGTTCCGGTTATTCATTTCTGATTAACAATGATAAATCTTTTGCCACATTTAATTGAGTAAAATTGTTGATAGGTGAAGTATTGGATGGAACCTGAGCATTTACGACCATTTCATTAGAAAGACAAAAGTCATTTAATAGCTGCGAGCCATTGTTGCTGATATAATAAGAGAGAATAAGCTTATTTTTCTATCGAAATTTTTTATGTGGGTTCCACATGGCATCAGACTGAAAAATGTATGAGTATGAATCTTATTTTTTGCATTGTTATTAGAGAAGGATTAACCAGCTGTATCGTTCGCTCTGTTGTTAAATATATTACTCTCAATCTGACATAATCGCCATCGGGTATTTTCGCTAGTAATGTCTATAAAAGCAATTTTTGTACTCTTCTTTTCATACTCATACTTTGATTTGTATTTTTATATTTGAACTTTCACAGGAATTTTAAAATGTTCTTTTCAAATCTTCGTTAACAGTTTACATTCAGGAAATCTTATTTATATTAGAAAGAAATCAAATGAGAAAAGAACTACCAAATGTGTTAACGTTCCCAAACGTGTAAAAAATTTCTCCCAAAGAGCTGCTTTAATTTATTTCTCTTAAATTAATATTCTTTTTTTTTTCGTATCCCTAACGTCCAATAGTTCTCAAATAGCTTTTGAAATAACTACGAATAACAATACAAAATTAGGTTGAATTTTAACTTACCTCGTCTCTGTTTCATTGATTAAACGAACGAAATTCTTGATGTAATCTATATTCAGAACTTTGAGAGGTTCTCTTTCAGTTACACTAAGATTGAGTAATTCATTGAAATACTTAAGCCAGTTAATCTGAGAAAAGTAATAAAAACATTTCTGAAAAAAACTTAAAAATCACAAATATTAAATAATAATTAATTTCATAGTACTACAAGTTCATAGTTTTCATAGTATTCTGAATTTTTATTTTTGATTCCCACGAAGTTTATTCTATAAACTTTCATTTTAATTATTTTCATTATTTTTCGTTGTTATTGTCAACACTAGTAATGGCTGTATTTTTCTCATTATTTAAGAAATGAATCTTAATTTGGAATTTAAGAAATCCCCTCGATTATAATTAAAAAATTCTATAAATACACTTGTATATATTATAAACATGCGCTACGTTTTCAGAAAATATACATAAATCAAATACAGTAAGTGTCATAAAAGTGGGCAAATTTTGTATTACGAATTTTCAACATGCCTGCTGAAAATATAGCCTTCATGCAAAACTTTGAGGTTTACCTAATAAAAATTAATAAGATATAAAATATTTAAAATAAATTAAATACAAAAATTTAAAAAAAAACCTGAAAGCTTTCAGATTTTATATTAAGTTATATTACGTCCAAAGTTAAAGTTTTTTTTTTTTTTTTAACGTTTTGCGTGTTACCTTTATTTATTAAATATCATGTTCTTCCCACTTAAATCATAAAATCCAATTCAACAGCTATATCGCAAAATAATTTTAAAATGAGTATATATTTAGAAATTTTCGATACACAGTCTCGCGCGCTGGAGATAAAAAGGGTTTTTACCGTACAGTTTTGCCATTGGTTGCTTTGAAATCGTTAAGTCTGTTAATTAAAAATTCGTTTTATATAAAAAATTCGTTTATATATTCGTTTTATATTCGTTATAAAATATGAAATCGATAATAAAACAAATACCAGTCGGATGGAGACGTACGTTATTCAAAATGCGATGGCAGTATGTACTGTGGTTTTATCACAATGAGAAGCATACGTACACATATGCAGATTCTTTCATTATTTAATTTCTTTAAATATACCACAGGGCAATAATATTTGGTGGCAACAATTTGAAGGGTGAAACGAACATTTAAAGGTTTCGACGCAAAATGCCAAAACGAAATTAATAGCCCATCTGGGTTAACGCTCTTTGATGCTAAAAAAACGCTTAAAAAAATTTTTGTCTTTAGAATTTATAATAGACAGACTCGCGTGCTGCAGATAAAAATGTTTTATTCCGTGCAGTGTTGCCAACACTCGCTTTGAAATCGTTAAATTTGTTAATGAATAATTCCTTGAAGTTTTAAAAAATATGAAACAGACCAATAAAACAAATTCATAACTCGGGCTTCCAAGTGCCCATGTTCAGGTAGAGGACTAAGCTATTTAAAATTTTATGACGCTAGCTACCATTGTTTTTTCGCAGTGCGAGAAACATAAATACATTCATGCAGACTTTTCATTATTTAGTTCTTTTGATATATAATAAGGGGTGATAATATCTGGTGGCAACAATTTTGAAAGTGATTCAAGAATTTAAAGTGCTTGGAAGCAAAATGCCGTTTCGAGAGAAGCCCTTCTGGGCTAACGCCCGTTTGGGCTAATAATAAAAGAAATTCAAAATGCAAAATTCGGGCTTCTAGGTGCCATAATCGGGTGGAGGACTACGTTATTCAAAATTTGCTGGATGTAGGATTTGATGGATAGTATTTGTTGGCAACAATTTGAAAAGTGATATGCCGTTTATTTTGATTCAACGCAAAATGCTGCTTCTAAAATAATAGTCCTTCTGGTTTAACTCTCCTTTGGGCTAATAAATTATGAAATTAAAGCTAATATTTATGCTGTTTCGATATTTTTTAATATCGAGCCATTTCATAAGTTGAAGAGGTGCTATTTGAGATTTGAATAATTGCAGAGACAGTTCGAGTCATTTAATGCTTATTTTCAGTTTAAAGACTCAATTTCAGACATAAAATGAGTTTGAAATTAAAGATCAATTGTGAAATTGATGTTAAATATACAAACATTGGTTAAAATAGAGTTAAATGCAATTATTTTGGCTAATTCAGCTTAACTCGAAAACCTAATGTGTCATGAATTCATATAAGGTAAACGTGACAGAATCATGAAATAAGTTCGAATTAGCTCAGATATCGTTAAGCATGAATTTGCAATTGAAACTCCGTCGAAGGGGCTGGCTGCATGGGTACTTTCGTGGTTTTCCGCGTGTGAAACGTGTATAAGAGGTAGGTCCTCTGGAAAGTCCTCCACGGCGGCTTTTAAAAGTATTATGAATTTAAAATATAGAAAGATGTTGAGAAATTGTAGTTCAATTAAACCGCTTTCGAGCAAGAATAGTTGAATATTTTAACAATTTCTGGTACATCTTGTATATGGCAGGTAATTTGCAAGGAGAAAATAATTCTTTAAAAAAAAAAAAAAGAATATTTAAACTACCATTATGTAGTACTATAGTACAAATATATTATACTATAGTGCAAAAAATGAAGCTATTTTATGCGGAGTTTTATACAGTAGTGAAAGATTTCAGGAAGGAACAACTTTACCTCAGGTACCTCACGTTTAAGCTCCTGCACGGTATAATTTCTTCTCCGGCTCCACTTTGCCTCAGAAATCTACAATAAAGATTTGAAAGAAATCTACAATAAAAATTCTAATGACCCAAAAAAATTCCAATTAGAGACTTGCAAAGCATGAAATAACGTCAAGTGTGAAACGTTTATTTTATTGTGTGGAAACAAAACAAGGTACTGAATAATCAGTCGTACACAAAATTGATAAACAGAGTATTTTAACATTTTTCCAAATGAACAGTTTGACAATCAAGTGTAGCCCAAAATCCAGGTTCGAACAAAAACGCAATTTGACGTTTTTGAACTGTATACTATCGTAGACAGAAGCACATAATCATAGGTACATAATCATTCATTTTATATAATTCCTTAAGTTCCACATAAATACTCAATATAGAAATGACATACAAATAGTGACCTTGGAACTAAACTCCTTAATGTATGTATCAGCATATTAATACTCAGTTTTACATTATCGTTTCTGCTTGCAAAGGGAAGGTGAAGTGTACTCACATGGCTGACTCTGAGTTCCGTGAAATCGAGAATCATCCTCTCCAACAAGTTTAATATCAGAACTGAAAAATCTAATCTCTCTATATAAGATAGATTGGAACATTAACCACTGTCACGAGGCATTTTTGTTAGAGAGTTTAAAATTTCCGATCAAATTCCATTGTAGAGACATGAGGATTTTTTGGAACAAGAGAGATTGAAAAATTAGCAACGCCTTCGCCGGGAATCGAACCACGGATCTCTGAAATATCGACTCAGTATTCTAACGACTACACCACGAACGCACGCTAGAAGGTGGGAGAAATACCTTATACCATAAATCGGAAAGAGGAAGACGCTACTGAAGTACTTTGGAGATTATGGGATGTAGGTAGGAATTGGATATCCTTCATATTGGCCGTCACTCATCACATTTCTATCAGATGCAGATTTCTAGGTCACAAAATCTCAAGAAATAGACTGTCAGTAATGTGATGTAACGTAATCAAGAAAAGAAATAGAAAATGTCAGTAATCTGGATGAGTTTATCACCGTTGGACAGGAACTCCTTATCTCTTAGTCTTTCCTTAAATGTCTGTAGAACTGGAACGCTTCATCACCTTTATAAATCATAAAAACCCATTTTATCATACGAATAATACTCAGTTCCTAACAGCTATATCGCTCTTGTTCATGGCTCCTTCTTTAGATTTTACGTCGTTTTCTTTATATCTTTCAAAACTCCCTCGGTGCCTCGCTTCCTTCTTCTTTAATTCCTTACCTAATTATTAAATAAATACTATCTTCTGATGAAACACACACCTCATTTGATCTTAATTGGTCAATTGGTCAATATCAGTCACCTCATATTTTTTTTCACCAGTTACGAGTATGCAGCCATTAAAATTGTGCCCCGCACTTTTCTTTAAATTTTGTCATGAGAAAACAGACTCAACACTCAATCATGCTGCTAACGGTAAGCACCGGGGGAAATCCTGACTCACCAAAGCTGTACATCAAAATTTCCATCAAAGCTACTCGACACTGGCGTCATGCTCCAAGTCATTCCCATTTTTTTTTAAAGTTGCTGTTATCGCTAACGTCTTACCAAGAATCGTTTTACAGAATTTTTTTCGACTCTCTTTTCTAGGCTTTTAGGCAATTCATTCGAAAGGCAACTTATTCTTTCAAAGGCCACGTCCTTTCTTCTTGAATCAGATCATCCTTCCCTCGAAAACACTTTAGCTCATTAAAGCAACAGAAGACATGTAGAACCATTAGGTATTTTTTGAAAGCAGGGAAGGTGAAAAATGAGCAATGCCCTTACCGGGACTCGAACCACGCACGTCTCGAATATGCGCCGAGCTTGCTGACCATTACACCACGAAGGCATGCTATGAAGGCGGGAGAAATACCTCATGTACTCCCTCTTTTAAAGAGCGAGTGGGGATTAGGAGACCCAATGGCCAAATCGCCTGGTGGTGGAGAACCATCATTCACCATCTTTTATAGTTCGGGCGCCATTGTAGAGACATTAACTATGTCTGATACGGGAGACGTGAAAAATGAGTGATGTCCTCGCTGGGACTCGAACCACGTGCCTTTCGAATACGCACTGAGTGTGCTGGGCATTACATCACGAAGTCATGCTAAGAAGGCGAGAGATGTACCTTATAGGCATTCTCTGTATTATCGGAACAATCACAATATGTCTTTTTACATCCTAATATCGATGACTGAGCCAATTCCGTGTTTGTAGATCAGATCCATAAGCTGCTTGACTATTTTGGAATCAGTGTCATTGCAGCTGTTGAGAATTACCTCATCAGGGAGCTTTTTTTAAATCTTTTCG